ATATATCTGCTAAACATATCGCAATCCGCTCGACATGACGGCCGCGTCGCGGTCCGCAAAGTTCGCTTCTTGGTCGCTTCTTGCCGAGCCGCGATCGGCAATGTCCGCTGGCGCAAACTTTCCTCGTTATACCCCGGGTATTCGCGACAAGTACAAGTATTCGGGGTGGCAAGACGGCGGCACCCGTCATCTGCGCGGTGTGATGAGAACCGCGGGGTGGCGAAAACTTGCCACGTCGCGTCGCGCCGAGAGAATAGCGAGAGGCGTTACACCGAGACGCGAGCGAAGAGTCTTTTTTTTTATCTCGATACTGATCGACATCGATCGATCGTTGCTTCGCCGTCATCGGCTTCTTCTTCCCGTTCGTGTCTGCCTCTGCTTCTTCTTCCCGATACCAGAGCATTACCGAACTTGCGCGTACTTTTCTTATCACGTACGGTACCGCCGCAGGAACTGGATATCGTGTTACGTTGCAAAAAGCGAATCGTCGAGTTCGACGAGAGTGACATGCCAATTTTTCAAAGTAGAACAACATATTTTTATCGTTTCGTACATTCATTATACAGAAATAACGATTTTGTTGAAGTAAAAATTACACTTAATAAATATGATTTTAGAATTAAAAAGAATTAAAGTTTATTTTAAATCCGCAAATTTAAGCGTTTTTTTTTGCTTTTTATAGGAATAGAATACCTGTAATTTTTTATAATATCTAATTTTGCTGAAATATCTAAAAATTTAGCTAGGTACAGATCTGAAAATAATTTTGTTAAATTATTTAAATAATTACGTAGGAATCTCAAGTATGATGAAAATGTTTTATTATTCTAGTAACCACTTTGAACGTCCTACATAATCATTTTAATGGTTCAATAAAATTATTTTCAGATCTGTAATTTAATTTTCAGATCTTGATCTATATTTTTAACAAAACCGTCTTTTCCTATATATACTTCTATAAGTCGTCTTGTAGTTTTTTTTATCTACAACTTCAACTCTCCGAGTTCTTCGTGATTCTAGATAAACAACTCATACTAATGATAAATGATTAGTACGAGTTGTTTATCTGGGATCACGAAGAACTCGGAGTTGAAGCAGTAGATATAAAAAACTCAGACTAAGAAAACGCGACCTATATAGAAATGATTAAAAATAACTCAAATTGAGTATAATTTGACGTCATGAATTTAATAGTATAATAGAATATTTCTTTAATAAAATCAGAAAATATGTCAAATATTATTTGGATATTACTTAAATAACTGGTTTGCGTTGATAAATTCATTTAACAGCGTCTTTCACGTGCTTATATCCCTGCAAATCCATGTCCGGATTTAAAAGTGGCACATCGCGCTTCACTCATACATATAATTTTGATAGAGCTGTCTGTCGGATATTCAGTAGCCGCAGCGCATCTTTCGCCTTCTCTGCCGCGTAATCCTCGAAAGGGCTGTGCTTCTCGACGTGTGGCGGGATTATGCCATCTGCCTTTTCTGACTTTTTTATTCGGAGATACGAGATACAAACCGGTGCACTGTTTCGAGACATACACGTCCATATGCGTCCGGCAGCTGCCGCTAAGAAATACGTGCGATCGGCACGTACGTCGTTATTTCTGCACACGTCGTGGATTACGGCCGAGGTGTAACCGTCAGAGCGGATTATCCGGAATTGCTGTGGAACGCTACGGGCGATCGTACTGACAGTTTCGTGTCTATTAAATGGAGTGTGCTCATATCCACCCGTCCAGAGATTTGGATTCCAACGAATTTCCGCGGTCAAACAACCGGTTGTATGGTAACTCCTCTAATCGTACTTCGTCAGTTTAATGGACAGCTAAATAAAATTCTTATTAATATTAGTTCGTAATATCAGTTAGTTTTATGATAAATAAATTATTCAATTATTCATATATATATATATGGTATTGTTGCGATAAATACGTCACTCTTTCGTGTTAGATTTTAAATAAAATTATATTATAATAAAGAAAAAATATACGAAATTTTTTCTTTTTCTAAAAGATTTTCTAAAATTCAAATAACTCTCTTAAATAAAAATTTTATTAAGATATATTTTTTTAGACAACAATATTTATCTTAAAATTTAATCCATTACATAGTCCATCTATCCTGAAATTTTACATGGAAAGAATGATATTGTTAAAGTATCTAAAAATTTTACTATACAAATTCTAAAATAATTTTGTTGGATCATCAAAATAATTTAGGAATCTCTCTAAACAATGCTGCAAAAACATAAGCCAGTCTTTCAAGTTTGAGCACTCTAATTATTTTGTCCAACAAAATTATTTTCAAATCTGTATTTACTAAGTTTTTAAATATTTCATTAAAACCTTTCTATGTATTCATTATAGTGAACTAATTTATTTCAGTTGCTTATGTTTTCTTTTATCTAGAAAAAATCAAGTACGAATTCGAAATTTATTTGCGGACCAAACCTGTATAAATGAATCGTAAGTAGGCTACGTAAATAAAAGTTGTCAGCTGACGTTTACTTGCAAGTTTGCCAACACTTTTAAAAAAGAAACTTCCTTTTTTTCCCGCAACTTTTTTCTCGCACAGCTTCGCGCGTTATTGCCTCAGGCTCTTCAATTGTAAAAAAATCTGGCAAAAGTTATCCACTGCGACGTGATGCACTTCAGCCCCGCGGGCAGCTTCAGTTCGTGGCTTCCCTCTCCGGAGGATATGACGTCATCCCCTGCGCGATGTTTGCCGGTGGCGATAAATGGAAAATAAAAGGAGAACCGCTCGCGCCCTTGTCCGAGCGACCAGCAGCCCCGGGAATAAATCACGATCGAATTGTTCTCCATGAGAAAGAAAGAGAGGAAGAGAGAGAGAGAGAGAAAGGGGGGGGGGCGATAGAGAGAGGGTTCCCCGACCCTGAATGTCAGGCAAGTCCCTGCCGGAAATTAGAATAACGCGAACGATGAGAGACAAGCTGCAGCAGCATCCCATCCTCGGGCGAAATGTTCGTTGTCATCGCATCGTAGAAATGCATATCCAGTTGCATTCATTATGGCTTGTAATCATTTTTAATTTGGTCGCTAAAAAGATTTGCAATTACTGTCAGAAATACGAAGCACTTTTAATGAGTTGTAAATCATAATCAGCGTTCCATAAATCAAAAGATGCAATAAATCTTTTTTAAACGCTTCGTTGGTTATTTTATTTTTATTCTGCAAAAATTGTCGTTTAACTCGTGAACTGCCGCAAGCAGCAGCAATTCATTAAAGGTGCTCTATGCTTTTTGATAGCGTGGAGGAAAGCGTGTGGATACGATCTTTTTTTTTTAGAATGATATTGTTTAACCACGATAGGTCGAACATTGAAATATAGCGTTGTACAGTGTATTCCCATTCGTTGCGCTCGAAACAGGGTGAGCTCGGATTTTCGTTTTTCCAAGTAATGAAGCCGAAAGGGAAATACATACATACACGTATACGGGTGTAACGTTCACTGCCGAAGCCATGTCAAATAAAATGAAAAAAAAAATCAAATGTCAAATAAAAGAATTAGTCCCGTTACGTTTCATGTCGCCAAGCTAGTCGATCAGATTTTCGCCTGCATGCCGCGCATTCGTTGCCCTCGATTTTCGGAAATCCTCCAACGGACGGGAACGACGACGTAATTTCATTACGTGTCAAATCTATCGGTCTTTTCACCGATTCACTTCATCCCGCCGGCATTCGCGCACTACGGGGTGGTCCGTTACCGGATGCTCTTTCATCACGCAACCGCGGGAATGAAGTTAGGGATAATGATAGATTTGTCTGAACGTCGAGCTACGTATGATCACGAAACTACTTAATGTTGAAGATTGAAACGTTTGAGGTAGCTACTCCAGATTGATCAGAAATGAGTGGGTAGTATTGAATGGATCAGGTATATAAATAAACAGCGATATTAATAGTACTATAATATACAACTATATACAGCAATGGTTACGGAAGAACAATTTTGCTGAAATATCTGAAAATTAGATAATCTGAGATTAATTTTGTTGGACTATCAAAATGATTATGTTGGAAACTAAAAAACGATGAGCAGTGCTGCAAAAAATTTAGCTGTTTTGAAATATTTATAAATTTATATAGATACTGATTTGAAAATAATTTTGTTAGTCTATCAAAATGTTGGAAACTAAAAAACGATGAGTAATGCTACAAAAATATTTTGATATTCTAGCAATCAAAATCTCCAACAAAGTTATAAGTTTTGATGATCCAACAAAATTATGTTTAGATTTGTATTTAACAAAATTTTAAATCTTTCAGCAAAATCGTTCTTTTTTTGTTCTATTGTTTCGAATTTATATCTCTAACTACCTATGAACAAGATATCGAATGGTCGGGGCTATATGGTTATTGCTGAAGTTTATCCGCAATCCCGAAAACTCATTTTTGTCGCAATGAGCAACACTTCGTTAGCGGTAACATTTGTACTGTACAAGGTGTCCGTTACATGGTATTTTACGTTTCTAAGCGATTGGTCACAGAGTAAAGATTCTTTGTCGTAAACTTCAATGTTTCGCCAGAATCTTTAAATGGACGTTTTTACGTCACCAAATATCGTCCCACTTTTGTAAAACTGAACGGATACAAACGTGAGGATTTTATACACGCTCTTACCTAAAATCGAACATTCGAACTATACTCAAGCGTGCAGATTTAAAATGTATCACGTAGCTAGCGAATAATTGGAGTTTCGAGTGCCGAGAAATTTTGGTGCACTTTGTATACTCTGAAGCGTGAAACACGCGAGGTGGATAGTTCGCTCAGATTGAAGAACCGACTTGTTTAAAGAGTTAAACAAGCTCAGTTCTTTAACGTAGTTGTACGACAAGTTGAAATAGTTATCTCTAGTATATATTTTTCTTGTTCGGCAACCGAAACTGCGCTTGCCATTTTATTGCTAGGAAAGAATTGCAAGTATTTCAGGTGTATGTACGACTTCATAGTTTCATTGTTCGTGTTTCAGGTCCACCCGGTGAGCCGGGTCCACCCGGAAAGAGGGGCAAGAAAGGGAAAAAGGGCGATCCCGGGGAGCCCGGTGCGCCGGTGAGTACGATGGGGCTCACCGATGCTTCAATACCACGCTGAGCATGCCATATACACATACATACATATATATATATGTGTGTGTATGTGTGTGTGTGTATGTGTGTGTATGTGTGTATGTATGAATAACCCTCGAATATATTAGTGCACTAATACACGTGCAGTTGTCTGTGTGCGAGTATGTTTATTAGGGAGTGCAGCTTCATGCATGAAATAGTAATTAATGATACGCGTTATATTATTCCCCCTATTTCCCTTTTCTGGACTTGAGTACATTGAATGGTGACTAATGTAAGCAGTACGCGCTTTCGAGACTTGCATGCTCAGTGAAGAGAATTAAAGACACACTCCGCGAAGATGGTCTGAACCGTAAAGTTTAAAGAATGAGCTGAGTGCTACCGTGTATTAATCATGGTGTACTCTCATTGTAAACTCCATTTTTCTTTGGGAGAAATTAATTTTTTCTTCCTCTCCTAAGAAAGTAGGAGTTTATTAGATTACTTCTGCGGGCGTGTCTTCAATTCAAAGTGATCGCAAACTTTGTCGCGTAATTACAGATCAAAAATGAAGCTCGTCCATACCGGTTGCGGAGAGAGCTTATTTGATATTTAATTGATACTTTTCTGTTAGCTGCATCTTACAATGAAATATCGATGTCGGATGACTCGGCGATTAAAACTCGAAGTTACAATATGACGTTGTTAACGGAGAAACAAATTAATCTCACTCGCGCGATACCAACTTACATTATGTCAAGGCGTAATTAATTAGTTTCAAACTGTACATACGTATATACAAATTATACGTACGTACAACAACTTATTCACTTTCTCGACCTTAATACAAAACTCGAAGGCTATTACTCTCCCTTTAAATTTGATTTATTATTAAATCTTACATTTATTTTTTTATTCCTCGACATATGTTGGCCGCATTAAATTTCAAAATTATACGAAATAATGGCTTTAAAGTCGGATCGTTATCTGTCGAACTTAATCATCGACTTTGAAATTTTGTGCCCGTCGCGACGAGCAGGTTCTCTCTCTCTCCGGCTGGCAGCATCGTGGGTGTTCCAGAGACGCGCGATCGGATTTCCCTCGCGATTGCCGATCGAGCGAGCGCATCGTCGCGTAATCAAAGATCGGATTGGCGGAACACCGGGTGAACTGGGAGGGAATGGACCGGCACACTCGTGTGCGTGCGCGCGTGCTTATACGCTCGTGGAATATCTAATTGGCCGGAATAATTATCGGCGGTAGTATATATGGGTCCTTACAGTCGCGATCGTGTACATATATATGTATACGCGACCGGGGCCGATAAAATCGCGGGCACGATCGGCCGGTCCGCGAAATAATCGCTTTTGCATGCGCGCGAGAGAGTACCCTGACTAAATCCCCCCCTCCCCTTCTCTCCCTCTCCTGCCTCCTCGTGTAAACGAGTTTTTAATTTTTTATACCCCTTCTTACAGGGTGTGGCCGGGACGCCGGGCAAGAACGGTTTTCCGGTATATTATTTTTTATTTTCTTTCTCCAACACTCCTTCTCGCTTCTCTCTGTCTGTGTAACGTCTATCTATCTGTCTGTCTGTCTCATATCCTTACATTTGCATTCGTTTCTCTGTTATTCTCTCTGTCTCTTTTTCTCACTGTCACGTTTTTTTTAAACACCACGGACTATCATCACACTGTGTGTATCGAACATAACAGCCATTAAGTACCATTAATGCGTATCATGTAGCCGCTGATGTGCGATTTTTGCTCATTTGACCTGCTTCTTTATCCGCGAGCTGTCTCTCGATCTGAATCCTCTTCCGGCTCCGATACAAGCTATCCATCTAGATTTTTTATTCTCTTTTTTTTTGTATCATATATCAGCGATTCATATACGCGCGCGATCGAAACGCGAAATCGGACTCTGGTATCTTCATCTTCAATATTTGTATGGCGCGTCGCTTTGACGACTGAAGGTGCAACTGTTGTACGCATATTGGTGAGGAAACGGGTTGATTAATTGCATACTTCACTCGTTGCGAGTACGATCGTTTTAATTACTGACAATCTCGAACCACCTATCAGCTTTTATTCAGCTTATTATGAAAACTCGCGATCGGTTTATATCAATAAAATTTGAATATTTCTAGTAGTATGTGAAAGGTTCGTTTTCATAAAATTTTATTGCGAGCAAAATTTATGTTTCACGTTGCATAACACTCGATCAATTGATAAAGAGTATTGCGCGTAGCTCTTATTTAAATTGTATGTAATGAAAAATATGTAAATTAGATACGAAATGTAAAATAACTGACATTTATTTGTCGAGTCTGATTATTCACGGTGACAAACGATATCGAAAGAAATTCAGTATAAATTGGCGCAATGGTGAAACACCAATTTCGAGATATGACCCGGCATCAAATATGAAAGTTGCTCCGTCAGAATCGAAGCTGCGCAAAATTAAACATTCATCGTGTGCCGAATAAAATTTCTATTAACAGCGCTTCCTCGGTCGTCGCAAATGTACGCGTCACATCAGAGAGGATCATGCGAATGCACTTTTGTCGCGCCTGGAAGCATAACGACTCATCACGGTTCTGGTTTGTCGCGCTCCGCCCGTATTTATTACATGTTACATACACAAGGAATGAGATTTCCAAGGGCTCGCTCAGCCCGCACGCAATTTTTCACTTTTCTTCGTTCGTCGTTACGGACGCGTGAGCGACGACTGGCACTCACTGGCGGTGTTCTTTCAGGGACCCATCGGCTTGGACGGGCCCAAAGGTGATCCGGTAAGTTCACCGCATAATTTACATTTTAATTTCGTCGCGGCGTTACAAGCGTGCGAGATTAATTGCTTCGTAAAAACGCGAGAGGCAATATTTTATTTTGCGATGCTTAACGTTCTGAGAATAACATTATTTAATGGAATAATGGTTATGGGCGTGAGAGAGTTTTAATCATAATATATTTTGTGCGGCGAGAAACCTGTTTTACCAAAATTTATGTTTACGCGAGGTGTCATATTATGATAAATAATCCAATTTTTTCTTTTTTATTTACAAGCACAGGTATTCCCAGGTTGTATAAGTTTATGAAATTTTTTAACATTTTAGTTTATAAAATCGATCGACACCAAAACAAATGCTAGACATTGCGAAATAATCAATTTGTAATTAAATATATGAGATATCTTTGAAATTTTTTGCTTGACTGAACTGTCGATATCGGCCAATTGCTCATACATATTTTAATCGATACGATAAAATTAGATATGCCTTATCTAAATTTTCTGTCTTAATTGTACAGGTTTGAAACGAGGTCACTTAAGACATTTTGGGAGCGTCTGCTTGTCCCTGTTCTTAAATATAAGATTGACAATTTATTTAAATCGTTTGTTCTCTTTCTCTCTTTCCGGCCGATTTACTTTAATAAGTATTTTATATAGATACAACCTTGGCTAAAAATATTGGGACATTTTATTAACTATTATTTAAAGTTCTAGCTCAAAAATTGATTATGGCATTTTGTGTAAATCATCATTTGTTTCAAGAATCTTTTAAACTTATATATAATTCTTATATATAATATGGTAACTAATAAGATAACAATGCAAGTAAAAGAATTTTAGATGAATGAAAAAATATAAGTATCTAATATTTTTTACTAAGGTTGTATACATACGTACATATGTATACATATGTACATATATTATATAATCACATACTATTACGAAAAAGGTGAGACGTCGCTCGTCTGAAAAGACGACGATCAAGAAAGCAACAAAATCAAACGTTTGAAATGACGGACGTAAAGATAATGACACGAGAAAGAGAAAGAGAGAATTTTGATATCGAGTTTCCGTCAGGCGCAGCTGTTCCTAAAAGGATGAAACTTTTCTGGTCTACTTCACAGTTCAGTAGAAATTGGAGTAAGATATTTAGTCTTGTGATATATTTCGAGACACGATTCGATCGGTATTCGAATCGCAATCTAAATATAATTGAAGAAATGGGGGAACACATTTAGGTACCAATCGCTCTGAACTCGTTTTGCTCTGACACTTTTCCTCGACTCCCTGGTTTGCAACAGCTGACGTATGTTGATCGAATTAGCCGCAAAAATGCAGGATGATCAATTATATGGGTGATACTTTCGGTATACTATATACATTTCGCTATCAGACTTTGTTTTTGACGAGCACGGATCAAATGCAGGCAATGCGTAAACATTACGAAAATTCGATGCAGATATTTTTACTTATACGAATACGAATAATTGAAAAAAATTATTATGTGATTTTGATAGCATGAAAATTGAACAAACGGAAAGAAGGATTTTGAAGAAATTAAAAATTTAGCTATATACAGTTCTAGAAAATAATTTAGCTAGATACAGATATGAAAATAATTTTGTTGAACCATTAAAATAATTACGTAGAAAATTCAAGCATGATGAACGATGCTGCAAAATATTTTGACATTTTAGCAACCAGTTTGAGCGTTCTACGCGTGATTATTTTGTGTGTGTGTGTGTGTGTGTGTTGTGATGATCCAACAAAATTATTTTCAAATCTATACCTAAATTTTCATTATTATTCGAGTAAAATTGTTTTTTTTCCGTAGAAAGTATTTCTTTAATACTTTAAGATTTTTAATACATAGCTTGTTGGTAAAAAATATGACTATATTAAAGTTGCAATATTAATTTACGAGTTTACAGATGCGAAAAGAACGATTTTGCTAAAGTATTTAAAAATGTAACTAGATACACATACAGATTTAAAAATAATTTGGTTGAGCCATCAAAATAATTATGTAGGAAACTCAAGCGTGATGAGCAATGCTACATAAAACTTTTATATTCTAGTAACCAGCTTGAGCGTCTACATAATTATTTTAATAGTTCAACAACATTATTTTCAGATCTGCATCTAGTTAAATTTTTATATACTTCATCAAAACCGTTCTTTCCGTATAGGCGTCAACTTTTTTTTTAGCTACAGTTAACTTTTTTAAATTTTTATGATAAAATAATATTGAAAATAAAAAAGAAAATCATTATAATTCACTTATCTATGAATCTATTTATACAGCGAAAAAAGCAACGTTATTGTGTAAAATTGTTATACGATTAATAAACAACAAAGTACTCAGCTTTCGTATGCAAAAATAGTTTATTAAAATTCAGTATAAAAATTTACATTGTATTTTTTAAACATATGACTTCTCTGTAGTCAGAGTTGTCGTGATTTATTAAGACAACTCCATATTCTTAGTCGCGGTTGCAATGTGCAGCAGTGTGGTCGAGTAGGATTGGAAGATGAATCGGATTTTAAATTGAAGATTTGCTCGCTCACTTGCACTCACTTACTCTATTAACTCTGCTGTTCGTCGGGAAGCAGTTACTTGGTTGCGCTCGATCGTTGTATTTTCTCCGCGCGCGTGAGATGCGATCTTTTAACTCCAATCCGATTCATCGGTTGAACCTATTCATCAACTGGTTTGCTATCACCTTCTTTTCGCGCTTAAATGAACGCGAGACATACAAAGTCGCGACACATAGAAGGTCGTTTCTTGCCGCCATCATTTCGTTTATCATCCATAAATGTATAATAGTCTATACATAGATAATGGCAACATGTCCCTTCGAGGAAGTAGATGCGAATATCAGAGCGACAGGAGCACGGATTGATTATTCCGCATTCCTTATTTCGCCGTCTTATTATATATCTGTCTGGCTGTTGCACATGCAAACCGACTGTGCGCACGTCATTGCGCTTTTGGAGTTGTCGCTTTCAACGAGGTCGGATATCTGTATAGATATTCACGAGAGGTAGATAAGATGAAAACCGTCGTCTAACGGAATACGTAAATTCACGTATTAGGATATAGAAGTTCCATAGTCCACACGTTTGCTTCGAGAACTCGTCCTGGTATACGAGATGGTTGCACGAGGCTCATGCTGGTTACACGACAGGGTCCTTGTATTATATCCCCGTACATGCATCCTCTTGTATATGCGTGACTCTCGGTTATGCAAGGTCCTCGTGACACGCAAAGTCTTTTCGCATGACAGGCCCTTGTATGCGCGTCGGTAGCCCTTTGTGGCCACCTAGTTTGCCTTACCGTAGAGAACAGCCTCTGTCTATTGGTGTACATACACGTGCACGGCGGTGTTTCGCGTATACGTTTGATGTCGCTCAGGATGTCGCGGAATTACTGCTATTTCCCTTAATTACAGACGCTACGTGATTAATTAAGAAGATTGACGACACACTAATAAGTGTTTTTTCGCCATGTGGACGATCAGATAAGAAAATATAATCTCTTACTTGATCTCGAGTGGATATTATTTAAATATTGTCATTATTTAAGACACGCAGCTACCGAGATATACTACATGCTACGAAATAGAAAAAGATTATGATTTCATAGACATATCTAAAATTTCATTGGGAGGAGGCATACAAATTTATATTTACAAAAATTTTTAAATATTTATATCAAAATCAACCTTTCAACGAATTTTATTACAATGAAAAGAACAATTTTGTTGAAAGAGCTAAAATTTTGCTCGATATACATCTAAAGATAATTTTGTTGGATGATCAAAACAATTATGTTAGAAATTAAAAATTGAACATTGCTGTAAAAAAAATTTGAAATTTTAGCGATCAGTTTTCAATATTTTTATTTTCAATATTATTTTGATAACCAAATAAAATTATTTTCAAATCTGTATTCAACAATATTTTAGTTTTTCACACATACAGTTCTATAAGATTTAATATTAAAAATTTTAAATATTTTAGCAAAATTGTTTTTTTTTTTACGTACGAATAACGCGGATTGAGCAATAAGCGTTTAACTTTTCATCGTAAAACTGATTTTAATAATTTAATTGTTCTTAACAATATTAAATTAGAACAAAATCGCTTATACGAATACATCAACTAATTGTAAGTAAGAAAAGTGCCAATTACATCAAAGTTAGATATTGAAATGACATTCTATACTTTTAAATAAATTTATTTTAGATATATGACAGTGCGTCGATTACTTTGCACAATCAAACTGAAACAAATTAATCCCCCAAATTAATTGTCTATCCTCGAGAAAATTTAACACCTCGCTTACGTACAGAGCCATTATTTGTCCAACAAAATTTTCATCAAAGAACAATCTGTTACGAGGAATTCACGGACGATGGTTTTGGAATACTCTGTACCTGATAGACTGTGGAGAGAATATACATGAGGACGTATTGTATGGTAGAACACTGACGTGACTGGATCTCGGTGGCGGTAAGGTACAAACGACAGAACAAATAGATAGCGAGGAAATGTGTCCGAGAAGAGGAAAACGAGTACGTGCGCGATTGAAAAAGAGAGAGAAAGAGGGAGGAAACGAGGGTAGAAGGAAGGGAGAGCAATAAGTGCATTGCAAATATCGCTAGTTGTTTGTTCTGTCGATGGCCGGGAAGAAAGGACCCGCACGATCGACTCCTTCCTCGCGTTCCTCTCTTTACCCTGCCGGCGTTTTCTTTTTAAACGAGTGTGGCAAACGAGTATGTACACAGTACTGGCGACCAATACCCAGCGCCGAACCGTACTAAGGGTATTCCGAGATTCGAATAACGAATCCGGCATTTATATCGGATTTCGTGCAAATAGTCGTAGCGCGGGTAGCTGTGACTCCGCAATTTGCCTCGGGATCACGCAGTTTACTCTCTACTCGCTACTCATGGAGAGGCAAGATCCGGCGTGCAAACATACAGGTTTATCTTCTTGGAAATTTACAACCGTGCTATCTACACTGCGAGCTGACCCGGACAAAATATTAAATTACGATTTTAACCCTCGTTGGATCGCATAATCCGAATCGCCTGCGAAGTTCGAAATTTTATGCAAGTCCGCGTCTCTCTTCATCAAGATACGTCATGAAGAATACGCATCACACGATAATATATTGTAGTTCTCGTGCATCGATACAGTAGATACGCAAAAGTGGATCTGAAAACACTGCATGCAGTGAAATAGGATTGATTTTTTATAGGATTTTGGTTCGAACTTTTGATCCGATATCGTCACTAGAACAACTGTAGATTGAATCTGATCCTAGCACAGTATTTTATACAATATAAAAGAAATATGCGGTTTGATTTTTAAGTTCGTCTACATTGAAAAAAAAAATTATTAAATCTTGATACATATTTCTTTGAATAGTATTAAGTTAAACTTACAATAAACAAATATTTATTCAATAAAAAAAGTGATAGTTAAATTAATGGTTTTTGTATCAAAGAAATATTTACAGTAGTAAATGTTTCTTTAAAACTATTCAAATAAATATTTATTAAAATTTAGTATTTTTTTTTAGAGTAATATCTTCTCATCTTCTAATTTGTTTAATAATTTTGATTTGTATGTTATGAAGGAAGACAAAAATTGAGAAATTTAGTTGACGTTGCTTTCTAATTTGGTGGCATGAATTGTAGCGAGTATTTATATTTATTGAATTAGCATTAATATAAGTAATTATATCTGTGAAGATAAAATAATTAAGAATTAATTATATGTGTCATTATGAAGAATTGACGGCGAGATTAAAGTGTAAAATCTTGCATCTAAAATATCTTCGTAGATTTTAGAAAATTATCTGAAAGAGAGTCTTATTTAATTAATAGTAGAATCTACAGAATCTTCATACAGACATTTTGAGCTCTACGCTATCGGATATTTCTAACACGGAATGAGTGTGCCAGAATTCTTAATTAAAGCTGAAAGTCGGAAGTGTCTTCATAGTGATTCAACACGCAAAGCTGATGTGAAAATGAAATCCCGGCGTATCGTTTTAACATCAAAAAAAGAGATGATATTTAACAGATTAAAAAGAGATGGTAAAATTCTCTTAAAATATTGTATAGAATTACATGTGAAAAATCAGAAATTCTAAAAAAATCCATTTTTGTCTCGAAGTTTTATAGCTACCTCACAAATTAGAAATAATGCGCAGCAAGAGCCGAGAGATATTTGATTGTTACACAGTTATGATACAACACTCATTTCGAAAAAAGCTTGTTCATTCCGTCTATTGTATCGTTACTCTACGTAATACACAGCGTCTCTTTTGTTCACAGGGCCGACCTGGCGACAAAGGGCAGAAGGGCGAGCTGGGCAGCCCCGGATTCGATGTCTTGTCCGCAGTAAAGGTATCTAAGCTACGCTATCTGGCGCAGAGTAAAGCAATATCCGCCGGCGTAGTCGTAATGCGAAAATGCGTGCCGCGCTCTCTCATTTCTCGCCCTGCAGCCCTCCGTCGTCGTCCTTCAGAGCGCAATCTCGTAAAGCCCACGGAACGTGTGTAGTACCGGCGTGGCCGACTACACACAGGGCGGAGAGAGAAAGAGAGGCGAGAAGAATACGGGATAAATCCTGAAGGGACGGCGGAAGAGGGTGTGCGGGCAGAAGAAGTAAAACGATATTTTCATCGCACGTAAAGCTGCAAATCCCATTTCACGTGGTAAAAGTGCACTCGAGCGGGAATGTTATTAACGCCTTCTCGATCGCGTCGCCGTGAAGCGTCAAAGGACCGACGATTAATCGAATAAATTACACGGATTTCGTGATTTCAGCCCGAAGAATTTCAGAAATATCTGGGAGCGAATCGAAGCGAAGAAATTAGTGTCATGCGCAGGGGAAGCTCCGCTTTGGAGTGATCCGAAGTAGAACGAGGACTTTTATATACGAATCCTACGGGAAATCATATATCCGAAGTTCTACGAGTGGCCTAATTCGTCACCGCGTTTATATACATGATAATTAAATCTCTCACGTGAAAACGAGATTTGTATAATCGTCAAAGCATCTGAAATAACATTTTACGCAGCAATCCTCGATCCTATATAAAAGATCTGACGTTTTATTTAATCCATCGCTTTTTTTTTAAGGTCGGGGCTTCCTCATTCCGCTCGAGCGCACTTGCGCGCGCGATTTCTTTCACGAAGTGTCATACGACGAGGAGGTATACTGTTCCTCCTGTCGTTGCCGGGTTCGAGGACCTAACTAGTTTCACCCTGGAAGTCGAGCGATGCTCGAGCGATTTCATTCGAGGACGACGATGCATGCACGATGCATTCGTCCGTGCACATGCATATGCATACGCTCGTGTCCAGGGCGAAATCACCGAGGTTCTGCGTTCTCTCGATCCAACGTGCAACAAGCGCGTTCGAGTATCGATCGATGCGTTGCCGCACGACGACGAGCATATCACGCACGGAGTCCGCGTGCGATGAAGCACAAAGACGATCGACGGCTAAATGAAATTTATTTAAAGATTATACAATGGTTGCCAAAAGTTTCCGGCCAACATATAATTTTACGATAATTTTTGTCAATCTTGTTTCACTTTAAATTATAAGTTAGTAAGATTCTTGTTATAATCAATTTAAGAACACAATATTTATTTTACATAAATACTAGGATATACTAATACCTGTATACTGGATCTTTATTTATAAAGATTTTTTATTTAAAATTATTTCTGATTAATCAGAAAAATGTTTGGCAGTCACAATATATAAATATGTATTTTTCTAGGTTTTTATTTAAGACAAAATCGATTCCGGAGTAAACTAAACAGACGCAGTTTTAGATATTAAAGCAGCTATTTAATTTAGGAAACGATAATTAATTTCATTTTTGCGATCAAATATAAATCAATATAAGTTTTGTAAATGAAATTATTCGAAAGTGATATTTTATTTTATGTATTTATTGTACGGAGGAAGGAAATAATTTTTATCATACAGTAAACATTTGTCATCAATAAATAACGGCAGGATAAAAATAATGGCCCGGAAAAAAATCGCGTCAACTGTTGCGTGCGATTTGTTGTCGTAAAACTCGTTCACGACGTTTTGCACGTTCGAACGACGTACAACGGAAAACGAACGATCCGTCGCGCGCTATCCGTCAAAATGCAACAGCAGTGCGGAACTGGTGTGATTGGCTGCGTTCAGCAGAGATTTGCAACTGTTGTGAAATTTTTTAATATAATTGGTCTTGCCCTTAATTCCTCACTAGATCTAAATATACAAATTATAATTACATTAAAGAATTTTACAACAGTTGCCCTAACAAAAATTTTATACTGAAAGATTAGTAATTAACTGTATACTTCCTTTGAGTATTAAAAGCACTGTTATGTAGTGTTTTTAATACTCAAAATAAGTAATTAATTACTACCTTTTGATGTTAAATGTTTGTATCAACAGCTATTATAAAATTAAATTATTACAAAACTGTTGTATAGCGCTTTTACATCTTATAACAGTTGTACGATGCTTTTAATGCTTTTAATAAAAATACATAATTAATTACTTTCCTTCCAGAGAACTAAATTTTTATAAGGATAAACAACTGTTGTAGAATTAAAAGCATTGTACAGTGCTTTTAATATTTAAAATAAATGAATTAAGTATTACGTTCTCTAATATGTTGGATTTCTGTAAGAGTGTGAAATTATTTTTTCTGCTGAACACAGCCATTGTCTTAACCAGACGAATCCCTAGCGCGAGAGAAAAAAATAATCGCGTCGATCTCTCGCGTTGTGCTTCTTTCCCGCACGCGGATTCCATCTGTCGTGAAAACAAATTTCATGCAAAAATCTGTTACGCGCTCGCTCGCCGGTCGACCGCCAACAGCCAACGGCAACGCGACATCGCAGTACGAGAACAAATAAATAAACCTTGCCTTTTTTCTCGCCTACGGGTCAATGCACAGGGATTGGGGTTAAAGAGGTCGGTGACGACGCTCCGCGGCGGGACGCTCGGCTACGCGGAAATCGTCGCCCTCAAGGTAAACCGGCTTCCTCCTCCTCGGAAGGCGCGACACGCTTCTCGGTGTCGCGATCCGGACGGACGTCCTCCAATCTCCTCAATTGCCTCCCCCCGCTGTTTCTTACCCGTCATCTCGTCATTGTCCAACAACACTGTCGTAGTCGTCGTCGCTTCTTCTCTTCTTCTTTTCATTCCCTATCCCCACTTTTCCCCGTCAACCCCTTGTTATATCACCTGTATGTCAATTTTTTTTTGTGTCCGCGCGTCGTCGCATACATCCCGGATGCGCGACAAGCCGCGGATCTCGTCGTCCAGTTGTTCTTTAGCTAGTCGTTGCCTCGTGCGGTGCTTTCGGTGTAGCGTTCTCTCGTTGGTTTATACGAAACGAAGCGCGTCGTCGATGCTCGATCATCGAATCGGGGCTTCTCTTTTCTCTGTCGATCATCGATTCTGACTTAATATAATCTCAGAAGGAATTTACTCTTTAATCTTTAGAGGATGAAGATTTATTTTTAAAATCTTACAGTTTTTTCTGGAGTATTTGTCATAATTCATTATTTTGTTATAATGACTATAGTGGCTTTCCCGTCCTGTTAAAGGTGAAGATGTGTGTAGAATAATATAATTGCGGGTAATAATGTTGATGCATTTCATGTGATACTTGTGTTATATGATCGTGATCGAACGATAATGAGAGACCACTGAATGAACGACCATCGGCGACGCACTTTTTCACTTTGGTTTTTGGTTGGTAATGGTGTTTAGATCATGTAGGTCTCTCTCTGCGCATGCCTTGGATTCGGTAGTTCATTGAGATACGAGAACCCGTATCCTCCCCTACCCACCCTTTGAAAAAAATCGACGTGAACCCAATGCTTTCCGCCCGATACCGAAATCGTCAAATCATTCCCCCCCCCCCTTGACCCCCCTCCTCCTGTTCTTGTCTTGTAGCGATTTGATTTTTTACCCGTAGTGTTGACCTACTTTTAGGATCTTCAGGAGAAAGGGGTTAATATCTCAGCGCAGAACATCATACCACTGAAAGTAAGTGCGCCTGCTTTTCGGGAAGTCCACTTATTTTCCTTCCCTTTTATCGATCCCTCGACGAATGGTGCTCGATTCGAATTTTGCAACAGAACTCTTCGGCGATCTATTTTTAGAAGACATTCTATTTTGAGACATTTTATAAATTTAAATGTATCAATTGTTCGTTGTTACTCAATATTTCTGTAAATATCGTTCTGCATCCATCATTTTTTAAGTTGCGTTGATATATATAGTTCGATAAGTTAGTAACTTTTTAAAAAGAGATGTTGACAAATAAATTTAAATTTTTGTTAAAAAAAAGTTAAAAAAGTCACTGATTTATTAAATGTCCTCGTATTTGAAAGTAGGAAAAGAAATAAAAAAAAGGGGGGGAAAGAAATATTGCAGATTAACTTGAATATTTTCAGAACTTATCTTTTGTTTATTCATACTTTCTCGAGGACGCTTAAACACCAACAGATCATTCTAAATTCGCTGGTGAAAGTAGAAAATGCCCCGCTGAAACGAGCTGTCGCGTTGCAAAGAAGTTACAAAAGTTTGCTCACCTCGAAGGAATCCCGGGGCGATTTAATTCTCCCTTTCTCCGAGATTGCAAACTTAGTTCTCCTTCTCGTTCGCTGTCGCGACAACCGGAAGTTGTCGGGGAGGGTTTATTTATCGGTCGGATAACCGATACCGAGCGTGCTGTATATATATCCGTCCCTTAATCACGTAGTGGAATTTTGTCGCGGTCGACGCGGCTTCACGCTGAGCACCGTTTGTCCGAGGGAACGAACGAGGCGCGAACACGGCGGAAGGAAGTTTCGAGTAGTTGTAACTCGAAAGATCGCACAACGATCGAGTCGAATCATCCCGCTGTGTTCGCGCCATATCGACATGCGCGAGGTTCGCTGGACCCCTTACAAGATATACCCTTTTATTTTACGGTTCGATACCTCCGTTCTTACGCCCCATCTTCCTCTCTCTTTCTCTCTACTCTACTCTCTCTATCGGGGGTCGTGTACAAGTTACTTGCGTGCCTCGTATACCATTCTTGATAATCGATTGTCTCGATACGCGAAAGGAAAGACCGCACGAAGATCCACGAAGGAAAGCCACCGCCTTGTCTCGCGATATTCCATTCTTTCGAGCGAATGCAAATCCTATCGCGAAAGGCAGACACAGCCTCTCGGCTCAGCTTCGATTGTTGCTGCTGTTGCTGCTTGTCGGCGTCGAATTCGTATTCCTCGAAAGATCGGAGACGCGGAGATCGGTAGTGGAGTGCCAACAGTGCGATATCCTATACTCTTTCAGAGTAAGAGATGGAACCAGTTCCCCTCCCCGCACGTTTCGTACATCCGCTCCGTGGTAGTGCTTTGACTTGGCACAACGACGGCTTCCACGAGCGCCATTCGGGTCTCAAAGGGGATATCGTCCCGTCGCTCGAGATGTATCGCTTTATCAAATTCCGAAGGCGGAAGATTTTTAGAATTACAGTTTCACAACGTAGAATTTTCAGAGTCAAATTTACAGTCGAAGAATTTTCAGATATTCGGCTATTCCGGCAAAAGAATTTTCAACTTGAATTTTACGATGAAAGAGATCAGATCTGAATTTTGCAATTTTTCGTTTACATTAATTTTGTCTTGATGTCCGTAATAAAACTTTACATTAATTAAATTGTATATTTTTTTATTGCTACGCTGTATGGTATATGCATATGAAATAATAAAACTTGAAAATATGATAGGATTTTGATAAAATAAAGCATTAACAATAACAAAATTTTTTAATTTATCTGATGGAATATTCAACATTTTTTTTTATCAATAATGTATATGTTTGTCGAAAAAAATCTTCATGATGATTTTGTAACAAAGACAATTTTTCGCTTAAAGTTTATCCATGATGTCTGCGAGAAATGTTTGCTATCAAATTATTTATTTTTATTGCAACTTTGTATACATATAAAATAAAAAGTAAACCTTGAATATAACAGAAGAAGTCTAAAATGAAATAAAGTATTGATAATGCTTTTTAATTTACTAAAATATTCACAATTATCAGTAATATTTTTCGAATAAATCTTTATGATTGAGTTTGATTTTGCATTCGACACAACACGTGCAAGCAAGGTGTCAATACTGAAAGAAAAACATACGCGAGGGAAAAAAAGCATTCGAAATTCACGAACGCCTCCGCGAGAGGGAATTTTACGCGAGAAGCGCGGATTACGTGGTCGCGTAGCCGCGAAAAAATCCCTGCGGGAAACGTGTGCGCGAAGGGAAAAAAAGGGGAAAGAGGGAAGCAAAAAAAAACCGGAAACGTGGTAGCGTTACGCTGGTGCACATAAGGCGCGAGTAAAAAATGCACGACCCCACCGCACCCGTCCCGCATGCCGATGCGAAAATCGCACACGCGCCCGTACATATTGGGCGCGTGCGTGCGTGCATTGCATGATACTACTTTGTAACATCTGCAGTCTATCCTATTCTCTCTATGGCGTAGTGCGATGTGTGTGAGTGTGTGCGTGCGTGCGTGTGTGTGTGTGTGTGTGTATGTGTGTGTGCTATCCACCTACGGGTGTGCATCCACCCGCTGGATGAATGCGCGGGCGATTTATAGCGCGTAGGTGGTATCCGTAGACTTGCCTGTGATCGTATCGCAGTCGCATGATCGCACGATGATGGTGTATTGATGTAGCTGTCGGGAATGAATAAGTAATTGCTGATTCTCCGGCGGGCGTTGGTCAACCGAAACCCGAATATACAATGTATACTCGTGAGACGATTATCGTGATACATCTCGGATGGATTGTTCGTTGCTAAAAAGGGATGACGTTAAAGGAAAAGAAAATTAGAGGCAGTTGCACCGAAAGTCTATTTGAGAGAATAAATCTTATTTTGAGAATGCTGCTTCAGAAAGTGTATCTGCTGCTCTAAAAGAGAAACGCGTCTGACCTATTTCAATATAGTTGCAATGCGAACGCGATTGCGAGTATCGATAGAGATGCTTTTGAAGATACGAGATTGTAATATATTTTACATGGAAATAATGCTTGACACAATGGATATGATAAAGCATAAAGGTAATGCAAATAATAAATGACAATAGCGCGACCGCGAAATATTGGCAGGGATGGTTAGCCATAATGAGCTAAATTTCCTTTCTCTAGCGATGCTACGATTAAAACTACGTTCGGGAATTCAATAATGAAACGCTAACCATAGTTAACTATTCTGTTAAAGAACCCCATTACGTTTTGTAAGTATTCATGGGATGCGAGAAGTTTGTCGTTTTTCATGCTTTCATCCTTTTTCGCAGAAGATTCCGCAGAAGAAAATAAAACGAAATAGTCTAAGCTGATTTAATTAATTAGTTGTATCGAAGTCTCCCCATTGAGTATAACCTGATATTTATTATATTTGAATCAAGCAAAAGGATTTTATTCAACTAAATTTTTTTTTAAATATCAATAGTAATATAGTTTCACATCGTTCTTTTACTTTGAAAGTGACACAATTCGAAAAATTAAGTTTCCCAGAAAAGTGGGAAAGTATTTTTCAATTTGACAAAAAATTATTAACTAATCGAATATTATCGGCATGAAGAATATATTTTTAATATGATTAAATATCACTCTTTTTGATAATTTTTTATAAAGTTAAGTTAGTTGATGATTAGGTAATATTTATTTAAGGATGTATTACATATATTTTTAACAAGATGAAAAAATTACAGATTTTTTTGTATTTTATTTGAAAGTAATAAAAAAAATATGGCGGCCATTTAGAATCTGGATGATCTGGATCAAATTATATATTATATCAATTATATATTATAAATTTATATAATTATAAATTATGATTCTGATACATTCATGGTAATAACTAAAAAAAAATCAGTTTTTTTTTAGTTGTGTCACTTTTAAAGTAAAAGAGCGGCATTTAATTTTTTAATTTTTCTATAACAACGAATTTAATCATTTTAAAATATGACAGAGCTTTCATATTTGTCTTCTCATATGAATATTCTTATATGAGAAAAACCTATTGTTTGATTACGGCTCTCGGTGCTTCAGGCCTCTATCGGTTCCGCGGCGTATGTGGGAGAGAAATTAAAAAATAGGCTGCGCCGAAGAATTATTCTATCCTTTCTCTCTTTTTTTTTTTTGTCAACATGAAACATATTGCCTCACGCAAAATGCTCGCGACGACCGCGTATATCTCCAAAAACGCGTCTCAACGGGCTATTCCGGGTTGAGTTTTCATCCGCGGGGCACCTGCGCCCTCGGGTGCAGGTATATGTGTACGTACTACGTGCGTGTATGTACATACACGCAATACGTCTGGCGCATGCATGCCGCGTGTCGTAGACTTCTCTAAACGTTGCGTTGCTCGTACATTTCTGTCTGCCTGGGCATATTGTGCGTGTATGTGGTGTCCCGCTGTACGCACCGAACGACGATCCATCGTTATTTGTCTCGGCCATCATCCAGGTTCGCGATTGCATGCATGTGTATGCGCTCAGTGTGGTCGAGTCGCGGCGCGTTATCGCGCAAATATCGTCTTTCCCGCGTTCAACGTTGTCTCTCGCGAACGCATATAAACACGTGTTCTCCGCGCGCATTTGCTACGGGGGTGCAGGGTGGTTGCTCTCGGGCGAGGCCGTTCATGCTCGGCCCCCGCTGATGTGTCTCTCCGGTCGTGACAGAAATTAATTGCTCACTCGTATATACGCGGGTTGTCTCATCGCCGCTGGAAAATGCTGTTTCAATAGCTGGGCCTTCGACGAACCGCGGCATTCATCGTTCCCGAATGCGTTTGATGAAGGGTCTAATTAATATTTGACCCGAGAGAGCACGCGTAGTATTCCGCATATGACACGTGCTGACAGCGATATTTTTCGTATCGTCATACACGCGCCGCGCACAAGTATTAATTATTAAAAATAAAATTCTGATCTTCCGGTAATTTTAGTGGAATTTTAATTCGATAGGAATTCAAAAATATTTATAATTTTATTATCGGGATGTTTAATTTTGCAAAAAAAATTGACAAAGATATTTCGCTTGTTGAGTTTCTCTCCGATAATGATGAAACGTATAGAAACGAGAATTAATTAAACGTTAGGTTTAGTTTTACAAAAATCCCATTAGTTAAAATTACTACTTAAAAAAAAGGTATAATCAAAATCTTATCTCTCTCTTTCTCTCACCTCGCCAGCTTTTTTCTGTTTCATTAAATTACTTTACTTCGAGTGCCAATAACTGTAGAAGGAAAGATAAAACTTGTTCGCTTAAAGATATTTCAAAATTACTTTTGAACTTATCGTACCGCGATTTTAGCTCCGGACAATGGACACTGTCTTTTAACGGCTTCTGTTACATCGGAAACTTTTCTACATTACGTCGAAAACGATCGCGTGAAAGTATCTATGGAAGAAAGAAACGATCTTAAAGACCACCATGAAGGAATATTTTTCCACGACATCCGGTTACATCTCCAGTATCTTTGGGCATCTTCTTACAAGAGAGATAATGAAAAATTCTCTTGCTAAACGAAAACTCTTCACCCGCCCTTTCACGCCATCGAAGCAGCATCGTGTAGTAATACGGTAACACGATAAAAGGTCCATTTCGTAATTTGCTGTAGTTACTCGCCGCATCGTGAAACCATAAATCCGCGCGAAGAGCAACCCCGTACCCTCCGCTCGCGCGCGCGCGCGCGCGCAGAGATCTTTCTCGTTTCCATGCATTGTTCTCTCGCGAGTTCTCCTTTTTCCTGCGTCCCCCCGCCAGTCCACATACCTTCCTCTTCTCTGTCTCTTTGTCTCTCTTTCTCTCTTTTTCTCTCAACTCTACTAACTTCGTCTGTGCCCCCCCCTCTCTCTCTCTCTCTCTCTCTCTCTCTTGCTCTGTCTATCTTTCGTTCTCTCGCTTTCCTATTTACTTCTTTTTACTGTTCCGCCATCCTCACCCGAGAGATCGTACATCACACATACGACTCTCCTTCTTCTTTGACCCCCCTTCTTCTCTCTCTTCCCCTTGTCGATCCCCCGTCAGTCCGTGGCACAAACCGACGAGTACCGAGAGACACTCTTGTGTCGAGGGCTCTCGCCGGAGAGAAAAGCCGTAACGACGTAACGCTCTTGGGACGTAACAGGGAGAACCGGGTGAACCCGGGCCGCCGGGACCACCCGGTCCGCCAGGAGCCGAGGGTCTTCCTGGACATGAGGGCAGACAGGGGATTCCGGGCGAGGTCGGCGCACCAGGGGAGAAGGGCCCGCCCGGGCCGATCGGACCCATCGGCCCGACGGGCACGCCAGGACTTGCAGGTCCCAAGGTAAATCAGACAGATTTAATCCATGTTTTATCTCTGGTTACACGTCGACCATTCTCGACTTTGGAACATCGAGATATCAAGTGTCACCTATTTCCGTAAATTTAAAGAGCTTTTCTCGATCCTCTTTTTCATGACGTGACAGGTGCTTCCCATCATGAAAGGAGTGAAAATAGCATTCTTTCTCTTAGCAAAGAATGCACTAACGTTAAAAAGAATGGAGAAGTGAGTGACCTATTTAAAAGATTCTTTCAATATTATTTTTTAAAAATATATAGAACGTTATAAAAATATTCCGTAGAGAATTTTTGAAAAGTTTTATTGGAATTTATAATATAAATCTCATTTGCGCTTTTTTGTGTGTAATATATAGATAATTTCTAAACATATCAAAAAGTTGTTATGGAATTAATTATATACAAAGTTGAGCTGGAAAGATAATTAAAAAACTAAAATTATCTCTCAAATGAATCTCTCAAATTAATTATCTCATTAATATTAATTAAAAATGTATTAAAAGGATTTGTAATTATTCCGTCATTAAAGAAATAAAGGCAAAGAGCAAAAAGTATATTGTCGTAAAATTTGGATTCTCGCGTGAACATGATATATTCACAAGATAATATAAATAAATTTTATTTTCATAAATATGTTACAGCATATCAATGTATAAATTATCTCCATTCCCGATTTGTCGATAGTTAGATTGGTATAGCAATATTGGCGTTTAACTGGAATTAAACTTAACTTTATTTACGTGATTGATATTATAAAGCGCGATTTCACGCATAATCGCGGGCTTGCGTATTTCGAAATATCAAACATCTGATACCGCGGATTCAAAATTCCACAGAGAATGATTTAATATTACGGATGTATCACCGCAGGTAACCACGTTATACCGTGGAATTATGTAATGATTACGGGCCGCGTGCTTTCAAGTACGTGGTTTGAAACAAATCCGGCTAATCTCATGGGATTTTGAATTTCTCTCAAATTTCAACGGCGTCTCAATTTCGCTTAATAACGGGCGATAAACCGTTCAATCTACATATTTAGCTTAGCGAAGATGAGAAGACTATGCACTATTTTTCGTATTTTTTGAAATTTTTTTTTTTTACACGTAAAAACTAAGCTCGTACATAGCTATTCGTCGTTGAAAAAAAGCGCAACGTAGATATTACGCTCTTAATATTGCCATTCAAGAGGTTACGTAACCGATAATTATTAATGGAGTACAACAGAGCGATTACAGAACAATGGAGTATTAATTACGTCCGGCGCATTGTTAATTTAATCCAACTATAATTAATTACATTCGAAAGCACGTTCCTGCATATTAATTACTGACGCTTGATACTGCCACGATAAAGGATCATCAAATGCTATCCATTTAGGAAAGTGTTCTTTTAATTAACCTGTCGTATGCGTTGGACAGAATTGCCGTGGAAAAAGAAACGTGATAATTTCATTTTCAGAAAATAATTATTGTAACGAAGCGAAAAATATGAGAGAGGAGTTGCGTGAATATGGAATAATTATCGAAAAATCATCGAAAGTTTATTTTCGACAGGGTGACAAGGGTGATAAAGGCGATCGGGGCTTCACGACGACCTTAAAGGGTGAGCAGTTTCCAAGTGGAGTATTTGAGGGCCCACCTGGTCCACCAGGACCACCTGGTAAGCATACAAACGAGATAATCTGCATACGAAATAAATGATTAAACATTACACGTCAATTGCATTCCTGTGAGGAATACGAGAACACATCACGGTAACTCTCTGCGAATCTTCTATGCAAATTATTTATTTCGTTAGCATTTCATTTGAATCTGATATCGTAGCTTTTCTAATTATATCAGGAAATCATACACGGAACTAGATATTATTTTTTTTTCTTTGCGTCGGTTATTTTTCATTTCCTCGACAGTATTTTACATTTCAATTAATACGTTTCATTAAATTAATATTTTTTTTCACGTCGTTTATTAAAATTGATATTTTCCACATTATTTTAATAATATTGTATTATTTAATGCTATAATCTTCCACTTTATTATTTCCTCGTGGATTCTTTTGGACGGGCAGTGCGCGGATTGAGAAATCATTAGTATCGTGAGCCACAAGAATTAAGTCGGTCACGCACGATAGTTGGGAATCGGAACGCTATGTGACATTCATCCGATTATCTTCGCGAATCGATTATCTTTGCGCGCCAGTGTGACCTCGGGCGAAGAAAAGGCGGAAATGTTTGACGAGGAAATCTTGACTTGGATGACCGTGCAGGTTCCTCTCAGTCAAGAGGAGATCGAGAAGCGATCACGCATGGTGGGCGTATATACGCTGTGTCTCGCCGGCGTAGTAATATATGCGGCCGTGAGCAAATCTTTCTTTGCCATTCGCGCGAGCCTCCTTTTTTTTTCTACCACTCGTCCCGTGCGGATCGGACGTTAACCCTTCGGGAGTTGAGCGTCCTCGAGGAGCACCAAAAAACTGCGCACACATTTATGTACATGGTGATATCTCGCGAAATTCGTAGAGGAAAAGGCGGTAATTTGATCCTCCATTTTGTTTTTCTGTGTAATTTTTGTATTTTTCAATTATATTCAAGTCAATGTCGCAGATAATTTATTGATCTGAATTTAATAAAGATATACTTGAAATGATAAATGAATTAAGATAATTTACAAAATGGAAAAAACTGTTTAAATGAAAGAAACATTACGATGTAACTACCTGTGATGGTAAAGTGAGTCTTCTTTTACAGAATCTAATTTCTTCAGGTTCTTTAGAATTTCCCATGAAAAATCTAAATAATTTAATCTCATAGAAATTCTTATTAAGATATTATTAGATTCAGGAATTTTTGTTTCGTAAATACATTCTCCTAGCAATACTTTTGCGTTGATCCTATCGACAAAAAGGTCTTGCCAATCATGGCAGCAATATTTCACATTTCGATATCCATCTTAAGAATAAGCTAAAAACTTTTTGCAAGAGATGGTGTTAATTATAATAGAATTTTAAGTAGGACTCATGTTGGAAGCAAGAATCACATAATCATCTTTTCCTTTACTTGGGTAAAAATAATCTTACAAAAAAGAAGACAATTACAAGAAAAAATTCCATAATAAAAGAAAAATAATTAGATGTTATCGTTACTTAAGCACGTTAAAATATCACAGTACAACATTATTGCAAAGCCAGGATTATATAGTTTTAAAATAAATAGGACGTAACAAAAGAGGTTTTAAAAAAATTCCTAAGGCTTAACTTCGTAGAAAATTGAATTAACTTTATAATATAAAATCCGAATTTCATTGAACTGAGATGTTCAGTAGCGCTAACGTTATAAAGATGCGACCGACGTAGAATTTTTAAGAAATATTGGCCGAAAAAAAAAATCGCTTCTAAGTGTAACCGAGAAATCTGTGGCCTCTGGGAGCCGTCACGACAATTCTAAGATACTCTGTGTAAAAGATTCAGCCCTGTTTAAAATTACAAGACAGGAGACACCAAGCGCAACGCTTCTCGTGAATAGTACAAAGGTAATAAATGCGCAGTCCTGAGGCACGGCGCGGCGCGGCGCGGAAGCTGGAGAATATCTCGTCGCGTAAAGACGAGCGCGACTGTCGGCTTAAAAAAATTCCGACTCACCTCTCGCGCCAATATCTCACGACTAGGTCGTTCGTCAACGTTCGTACGCCCACCCTGCCGTACCGCGCGACGGCGAGAAAATGATTTACGATCGCGGACGTATTCAGAATCCGATCTCGCTACTCGTAAACGACCGTTTACAGCGCGCCGTGTTGACCGTGATATGTCGGATATTGGCAAAAGCGTCGCGAGTATCAGTTACCTGCCTCGCGACATGATTGATCCGCGAGAGAAACACCGTGATTATAATTGAGTGAGAACCGTCAGGAAAATAGGAAACACCGAAACAGTTTTAAGCGCTCGTTACGAAACCTGTAACTAGTTTAAAGAGACGATTGGAAAACCAATTATTGAAAATTTATGCAATTTATTTATGAAATTGCAAACATACAGTTCGAAAATAAGTTTATTCGATTCGAATGGAATTAATCTCCTTCGTAAAAAGAAGTAATTAGATCATATCTTTGAGATAAAATCTTTTATTCCAATCAAGAATAAACTGAAGGTAAAGGAATTTAGCAGAAAGACCGGATTTAAAGTCCTCTTTTTTTTGTAGACCTTGTGAATTTTAGATGAAAGCTCTACGTCAATTTATCTTCGTCTGTGCAAGAAAATAATCTAGCGTTGATAAGATAGCCCGATATGATCGTGTCGAAGACAACGTCGTGAAAAGCGCGGCTAACAACTATACAAGTCCAATGCATTCGACAGAAACGAAATTACGCGAACGCTAATCCGTCTTTATACCGTTGTACGATGACAGCAGAGAACCAAGGATGGGGTAACAACGTTTCCGAGCATTATACATGCGCGCCTGACAGAATTAATTTAGCCACATACAAATCCGTCTCGCAATTTCATGGCACGAACTGCAACAACCAGTGGAGTCGCAGAAACTCGCTACTGTCGATATTGTACAAAGTCGTATTTTAGAATCAACGGTGCGCGCCATGCGGTGTATTTACTCTGTACGGTGCGATTCACTCGCGCGATCCTCGAATTTCGTTTTGTGCACGTGAGAATTTTTTCACACACACACACACACACACACACACACACACACAGAGTTGCCATTTCGTGACTTTATAGTATAAATAACATCTAGAAAAGGTAGCTCGCGCGTTAAAACAAGTAACACACACAGTTTATGTGTTTGCGATATTAATCACTAAAGGAAGATAAGCAAATTTCAAATTCATTTTTCAAAGAAATTTTCTTATAAAATATAAAAGAAAATATAATATAAATTTATTTAACTTTATATCGATTTGAAACAAATTTTATAGAGACGAAATATTCTCTAATTTTTATATCAGTATTACAGAAATTATGACAAATGTCATTCTATTACTGGCGAGCAAATGAAAGAAAATCCTATTATGCAGATATAGAAGTTCTTTTGCCGTGTGACAGAACAACATTGATCGTTTTCGTTGCGAGAATATATTGCTGTCAGTTCTATCTGAGAACTGTAGATAAATCAAAGACAATCGATAAAAAAGTAACGATCAAGCATGTCACTGCAAATGAAGTGTTAATCTGTACGACGCTTGACAAACCGCAATTTTCAATTCTTACACGAGAAGAACGATTTTACTGAAGTATTTAAAAATTCAGTTACATTGAAAAAATGTATTAAATTTTAATAAATATTTGTTCGATTAATGTATATTTATATTTACTTGTACAAGAACCATTAATTTGATTGAACTCTCAATTTGTTATTAAATAAATATTTATTTACTGTAACTAAAAGTTAATGCTATTGAAAAATTATATATTAAGATTTAATAAATTTTATCTCGGTAAAATTTTGTTTGAACTATCGAAATAATTATGTAAGGCGCTCAAACTAATTACTAGAATGTTAAAACTTTTTGCAACATTGTCATCCACGCTGAAGCCTTCTACTTGATTATTTTCATGGTCTAACAAAATTATCTTCAGATTTGTATCTTATAACTGAATTTTTAGATACTTCAGCAAAATTATTTTCTTACGCGTAATTGCTCAATCCTAATTGATCATGTTACATTCGGGTTTACATTGTAACATTTCAACCGATCGCGTTACTTGTCGCAAAATTTCTTCGCACAATTTGTTTTATTTCAAAATCGCCGCAGGCGCCGCGTTCTTTCGGTTCATATCTACTTCCGTAAAGCTCGATCACGCAATCCGTCGTCAAACGTCACTTTGACCGGCGTTCGATCACTCGAAGATTCTCTTCGAAAAAATTCTCTTTTTCGGAAATTCCGCGCTGCTCGTTCGCGTGCGTGCGTGCGTGCGTGCATGCGGACGAGCCAGCGTGGTGTGCGGGCACCATGTCTCATCTTATCCACGGCACGCAGGATCTCCGGGCGAGAAGGGAGAACTGGGCCCGACAGGACCGCCCGGCCTACCCGGCGAGAAGGGTACTCGGGGAAAGCAAGGGAAGAGGGTAAGCTTCAGCGAGGTCCTCCGACCGCCGCCGACCATCGACCAAAGCAACCCCGTATGACCATCCATCCACCCCATCCCTACTCAGCCATCCATCTATCCGACCGATCCCGTTATCCGTTGATTGAATCCGAACGTAGCAGGAAGCAGAAACAAATTAAAAGAAGAAAAAAAAAAGAAAGAAAGGGATGGTCCATCCAATCTGTTCCCTGATACCCTCTTGAACCTTCCAGTTGCATCCTACGTCCCGCATGGTATATGCATGTTTTTGCATGATAGCAAAAGTATATCGAACACTCACGTCCCTCGGACGCTGATAACCGCATGTTTCTTGACTTGGGTTGTGTCACCATTTAGATCTCTCTTATGTACGTAGCATGACGTAACCGTAGTTTCTTTTCGCGTGGGATTCAGTCTGATTTTTTTTTTACAACGTGTCACAACACATGCCTTTCCAGTCTGAACCTATATAGATATATATAGTAGATATATATATATATATATAGATCGAGTGTTTAGCGTCAGCAAAATTTTCGTCACATGGCTTTAGAGATTGCCTGATTCGATATTCTCGATTACATCGCTCTTAATGCCGCGTTGGAGAAACAGATCTTCTCGTAAAGTATTGCGTTTATACATATATACGGTTTTATCATATTTCGTTTGCTTGCTCGTACCACAATTCTAATCAATCTAATTTAGGAAATCAACGAAACATTAATCATCCTTCGATTTTTGCCTGATAAATTTCAGCATTAATTATTTCGGTAGATTTAAATATGAAATTGCACTTGACTCGTCTGAAGATTTCAATCATCAATCTTCTATTTTTTGCCGATTAAATTCTTCGCGGTACCGAAGAGAACAAACGCCGTAATTCTCCCTTCTCCGCGAAAAATGCGCAACTTTTTTTTTTATCCATTTTCGCTCCTTTTCGACTTCTTGGTTTCTTTCGTCCTACTTTCGAACATTGCCGACGTCTCGAGCTTTTCCCGTGGAATATTAGATTTTGTAATCTTCGAGATCTCTCTGGTTCCGAAAACGAGCGACTCCGCTCCCTCTGCGAGACGCTTCGAGCCGCAAGCACGACGCGCGTGCACAGCACGGCACGGCACGGCACTCTTCACGCAGTCACGCGAGCATGAGCACGTACGTCACTCCGTCACATTTGCATCGTCGAATAAACTGCAGCCGAACAGCATCGTCACTCGGTTACGGTTACGGGCAGAGGGAAGTTCCTCGCTGTGAAACGATTTGTAATCTCGCTTCGCGAAGATGTTTACTCCCTCGACGGAGCCGTGGTTGCGCGACACGAAGAAACGGCGTTAAAGGAACGAAACGGGAAAAACGAATTTTCTCCATTTGATTCTATGTCTAGAATTTGAATTCCGTGGAAAAAATGTAATTGATCCATGATGTTTACTATCTGGAAAAACTTGGAAAACCTAGAATTTTCAAGAGATTTCTGTTTTACTCTTACAAATGAGGGAGTTTCATAGAATTTTATCGGTGCTCAGAGAAAATTTAAAAATTTAATCTTTAAATTTAATTTCTGTGTTTTTCTGAAAATATAATTTTTTTTGCAAACACCTTTTGTTTGATAATGTAAAATGTTGACAATAATTGATTAGCAATAAGTGTAGCATCATTCGCGTATGTTCACGTATATCTTTGCGAGTTTTTATTTTAAAAAAAATAGGATAAAAATAGAAGATAGACAATAGAAGAGAATATTGAATGAATCTTTGTTATCGTATAGATTTCGCGGCAATTAGAAAATGATAGATATAGTCTCGTAGAATCTTTTACTAATTTTCAATACATAGTTAATTTGCGTTGCTTGCACTCTAATTTATTTCAAAGTTGCATTAAAACATTCTCTAACCTGGAATTTTGAATAAAAATATCTGAAAAATATATCTGAGGATTCTCAGGGAATTTTTCCACAAGATTTCAATGAACATCCTGTTGATCAATTAATTCCTTTTATTTGAGTGTTTACAATGCAATTGTAGTGTATTTACAATTGTAGCACCTGCGATAGTTTTTAAATGCGGTCGCACGCACATATATTCGATTCCTATCGAATCAAGTAACATTGAATTTGAAATTCATACATTTATAAACTGACCACAGAATATTTCATGTGTTATTTGTTATTCGGCAACACATTGTTACAGATATATCGCTCTTGTCGCTATTCGATTCGCAAAACCGCATATGTATATTTTTTTACACGCGATATTTTCTCGCGCCTCCTTCGGGAACTTTCCTCGCCCGTCCGTGTCCATCTTCGGAATTGCATACGTACCTCGAGCGACTGCTGGGACTCGTCTGTCCCATAAAAAAAAATGCGAAAAAAAATAACGACATGGAAAGTGAAAAAAAAAGTAGAATAGTAAGCAGGAACGGAAAGAAAACAGATAGGAAAAAAAGAAACGTTGGTAGCAGCAAATAACACGTATCCATATTGTGATATCCGAGGCTTCTCCTCGGATTCTCCCTCTTCTCAACCCCCTAATTCTTTCTTTTTCTCTCTTTCTCTCCTTATTTCTTATTCTCGTGTTTTTACCTCTCGCGCGAACGTCGAGACATCGATCGTCTCCACGCATTCGCGCTCATCACCACCGGCACCACGCATTCGCGAACCGCAGACTGTGAGCTGGCAAACAAACAAGCAAGCAAGCAAGCGAGCGAACAAACAGGGGTGGCGGGCTTAAAGCGCTCTCCTTCCGGCCGAATTACACGCCTACGCGCCTAACACCTGTAAACTAGTGCGCCTAAGAGCTTGGCGTGCGACCGTACCACTCTTTCGGGTCCATCGTAAGTATACTCGTAGATCTGCCGAGCGATCGTAACTTTTCCGATGACTATTGCAAACGGCGACCACGCGCAGCGCATCCTCCGCAAACGCTTGTATTTTTTTCCGCGAATAACAGCATCTCTAGAATTAAGAACGCGCGACGTATTTTAATTGTATAAAGATGAAAAAGAGAAAATGAAAGTTTCTTAACACGTATACTCGTTAATTGATCCATTGTTACAACATGTGACTTCCCGAACGCTCGTGGTTATGTCAAAAATTAATGAAACGCTTCGATATGATTGTTCTGACCGTGGTATTTAACGTGTTTGAAATTGTCAACCGAAACGTGATTTTATTGATGAAATTTATTGCTCTGGTTTTGCAAGGAATATTAGTTTCTCAAGATTTCTTTTTCTGTATCAAGCTGATATGCGGTTTAACATAATTTTTTGGCAATTTCAGCATGGTATAAAAGTAGAAACTTAATATTTTCTCGAAAAAAAAGGATTTAATTAAAATTAAATATAGTATATCAATATAAAAAACCAAAAATACGTACTACGAACAATGAGAGCTTTATAGTACACAGCGCGAGAGTTTTTGCGCAATTTATATAGTCATAAACTCTTCACATAATATATTGGAAACGACATTTTCAATACAGACTTAATTTGAACGAATGAAAAAATTATGATAATTATATAGCATTATATTTTTGGTTTTTTAATTTCGAGAGCCCGATTATTTAATTTTGATTTTCAATAAAAATTGAATTAAAATTAAATTGAATTAATGACAATGAAAAATGAGATTTGTTATAATTGATCAACGAATACAATTCTATTCATTTCTTTTATTCTTAGCTTTCATTATACGTCAGCATTTCATACTAAAATTTTAAAATATGTGTAATAAATTTTTTTGCTAATTTAAATTAACGATTGAAAATTACGTCTGGGGGAATACTATATAAATACGTAAAAATTTTCTAAAAAATAATTATACTTGTACAAAAAACGATTGTTCTATAAAATCAAATTTCATATAAATTAATGATATTAATTTTTAAACACGTTCATCATTTTATATACATTTAATGCACAAATATGTGTTTCTTTCTCTAATGTGTTAAAGCTCGTCTGTTCGTTTCATGTGTTTACGACAGAAAAGTGCTGTCCCATTTAGAAATTATTAAATTCTCTGTAATTCTATGTATTTTATTTTGTGGAATTACGAGTCATTTTTTGTAGTAAAATGGCTAGTGAACGAGTATACTTTTGACAGCGAATTTTACCACGTGTAATGCTAAAAGCATGATAAATTTTAAACTAATGAGTAAAAAAATACATGCATGAGTTTCACATCCTCCAATGAAAAAACGCATTTTTTCAGATATATAGGACTATATTGAATTAAGATGCAACGAGAGAGATTAAAAATAGCTCTTATTAAGTTTTGGTTGAGGAAAAATTAAGCAAGAATATTGAAATTTGCATAAATACACCATGTTCGTGCTCAATTTTTCGAGATATTCCCTAATCGTCCCGAATTTTTTATTAATATTATATTCATAAAATCAGAGTCTATAAAAAACATTATTCCTTTTACATCTTCTTGAGCACAAATCAGTTCTTTAATTCCTTCCTTTCTATTGTAAGAAGAATTGTTCTCTTAATGTAATTGCCATTACGGTTCGCGATTTCTTTTCCGCGACTATGGTGCGGAATAATTTTGCAAGTAAATGGAAATATAATGCATTTGCAGAAAATACGATTAAATGCGAAATTTACACAAATCTTGTAATCCGGCTTTTATAGACACGGTTTCAGACACTCAGAATTACCCTTCGGAGCAACTTCGGCAGTTCCGCTGCAGTTCCGCTGCAGTTTCGCGGTCGAACCACGACGATAAACTCGCGGATACTGTCCGCTCGCGATACTTACCTCTGGTTCACCGAATCGTAAAATTCGCCATTCGACCACAAAGCAAGCTCGCTCACAACTTCGGCCGTCCACTCGATTTGCTTCTCTAACGAGATGCGAAACCGGGATGCTTGTTCCGGATGCGCTGCGTGCGTTCCGATTGCAAAGCCACGGCCAAGTATACGTTTAATTACAGATAACGTATATGGAGTACGCCAATTTATTCAAAAATATCTTAGAGACGGACCCTCGGACAATACTTGGAATTGATCTCTTTTGAAAGTATTGTAGCTTAATTTTTACGGAAGGTCTTACTTGTTTTTCATAGGATTTAAATTTGCCTGCAAAATTTAATTCCAAATTTTCTCTATAATGACAATTATAATTATTACACTAATTATATTACTACAGTTTAAAAATTTTTATTTAAAATTTTCAGACATACATTGAAGAAAAATTAAATTTTAATAAATATTTGTTTGAATAATTCCAAGTAAATATTTACTAAATGTAAATATAATATATATTGATTTGATACAAACCATTAATTTAATTTAATTGTCATTTTTTTATTGAGTAAATATTTACTGTAAATGTTTATATAGGACTATTCAAAGAGATATATATTAAAATTTAATAAAATTTTTTCAGTATAAAGAAGCTAAATATACAATTGTCTTTGATATTTTTTGCTAAAGAAAAATGGACTTCCAAATTCGTCGAAAGATCTCTAAGGTATTTTTGAGTGGACTGTGTATATAGATGTCCACGACATTCGCCACTGTTGTTTTTAAGATGACGGAGGCGACATCGAGCGCTTTTGATAGCGTGCGTGTGAGTGTGTGCGTGTGTATATGTACAATTAGTGAGTAGTGATCCTCGGCGTGTAGTGTACGTAGCTTGTGTAACTAATTTGTGTTTATGTAGCGAGTAACACCACCCCACTACTCTTCCGCGTGTATCGGTTCGATTCACTAATCACTAATAACCACTACTACTCCGGCTTGTTGTTGTGTTGAGGCTCTCGCAACTCTATCGACTGGCGATCGCAAACGCCTGCAGGCTGTCGCGTAAGTATTCAAGATCCTGTCAAAGTTTGTAGCTTATACTGCGTGATATACTATGGTGTCTCCTTCTCTCTCTCTCTTCCCCCCCTCTCTCTCTCTCTTTCTCTCTCTCTCTCTCTCTCTCTCTCTCTCTCTGCTCATTTTTCGCGCGATTAATATTTTTATCTATTTTTATTTAATACTTTTTCTGTCGGTCCTACCCCTTGTTCGCCTTCTCTCTTTCTCTCTCGCGTAACATTCTTATATTCTCAATGAACTACATTTCGTAAATTATATAATTAAAATATTTTAATTTTCTGAATTTGAAGGATTCCTTTATGTGTTTTTGTTATATCAACTTGTTAATAATATTTCGCGGTATAAATCATATCACGTTACATTTTAGTAATGCATGTAAATTGAAAGGTTTTATTGCTGCATAAATGTACATGCCGATATGTAATAAGTCAAAATTTATGGGATACCTTTTTGCGTTTTGCGAACAAGAAAAGATCCTATTAAGCAGTAGGACTGGCTCTACAGGTTGTAATTATGAGAAGAGACTATAAATCATAGATGTTATCATAGCACGAGAGAGAAAAGAGAGATACATTAGTAGTCCTTAATTTTCTACTAAATTTGAACCCTAACTAACGAATTCTCCGTAGTCGCATGAGTATTAGTAGTCGTTGTCTACGTCATGAAATAAATTTGTTTAGACTGCAAGTGTGTTTAAATGTGTAGTACAAAAGTAGTTGTGCACTTACGATCTTGGCATTTAAGGTAAAAAAGAGATTCAATTACGTAGATTATCACTTAAAATTGAATTGTGAAAATTGAACAAGCGTGAAGTACTAAGATCGATCAAATTAATTGACGTAGATCTCGAAATATCATCCTCTCCTCCTCTCCCTCCTCTCTGAAACAAGACAGATTAACGCTTCGTTAGAAGCAACAATGAAAAAGAAATTGACAGCGCACATGGAGGACCTGGTTGGATCTGACCTTGCAGTGTCATTGTAGGGTTTCAAGGGTGAGAGCGGTTTGGCATTGGCGAGGGGTGCCCCCGGCCTGCCGGGTCCGAAGGGTGAGCCCGGCGAACGGGGTTACCGGGGCGAAAAGGGCGCCATGGGAGACGCGGGTTTACCAGGTAGATTACCACGAAACCATTCTACCGCGGCGGGAAAAGACGAAGGATAAAGCACCGAAAAAAAGCGATCGTGTCCGCCCTCTTATTCCTCGTGGAATTATTCTCCCACGAAAATCCGCGATCCTTCGTACATACCTTTAATCGCGCCTCTATATTCCTATGCATTCGCATGAAAAATCCAAAAATTACGGAACTCGTGTAATCTTTCCCAAAATGTATAGTTAACAGTAATAGCCACATCTTTCAGAAGATAATCCATGATCGACGATGATTAATGTCACCAATCAGATTTTATCGCTAAATTTTTTATTTCTTTTTCTTTATTTTTTGTTTTGAGTTGATTTTTTTTTTTTAATAGTTCACGTTCAATACGAGAAACTTTAAAATTCATGGTATATCAAATTTTTTCTAGGAAAATAAACAGGCAAATATTCGTTATACGGTTCGTTTACTGGCATCAATGGCACCGCACCTTCTTCCGAATATTTTTGCATATAATGGTATGAAAGAATAATGTTTCATAGTTTTAAAATGTATATTATATAATTTCAAAATGTATACCAAATGAACGTGATGTTAAAGAATCCTACTTTCCTATTTGATTATGCAAACATACAGAGAATAATGCGGGTCCACTGAACACGGACGCGAGATCAGTTCAAGTTTCTTGTTTAACTTTTCGAAGATATGTAATAGTGGAACGATTCGAAAAGTTCCCTCACGAAACTTGAAAACGATCCCGCGTTAGCCCTTAGGGAAAAGAATTCGAAGGCTGTGCCCTCGATTCTCTTTCGGTAATGCGCGCCAACTTCGCCTTCCGCGAAAAATTTCAATCAAAAATTAATAACGCTCATCGTTCGATATAGGAAATTAAATATTAATCCACTTCGTATCGAATTGAATATTTAATTAAATGTTTGTTTTCTGAAAGAGTCATCGGGCGATCGATATTTATCATTGCTATGTGCGACGTTGCGAATATTATTGCACATTTAGCGGCAAACGTTGAGGGATTGTTAACGTGACAGTCTTTTGATAAATGCTTTTCATGATGTCAATCAAAATATCGGCAGACAATGCAGAAGATATTAATGCAGTAACAATATTTCATTGACTGCCACTTTAAAACCAGTTTATACAAATCAAATATGTGTTTTGTTATGACTTATTTGAAAAATTTCTCTTTATTTTTTATCATTAACCCGTAACAGGAACACGTATTTTTTGTGACATTAAACAAACATGTGTTCCTTGGAACCCACTATTTATTATTAGTTTCATTTTCTTTAAAAATTGAAATATTTGTAATTTGTATTAGTTTAATTCATTTAATTTTGTTATTAGTTTTATTTTTTCTTTAAGAAAATTAAAATATTTGAAACAACTAAAACTTAGCACAAATATAGTACGATAAATAATTAGCCTACTTTTTTTTTTTTTAAGAATGCACTGAAATTTAATATAAATATAGTACAATAATTAGCCTACATGAATAGAGAAAAATTGTGAAAAATCAAATCGTGAAACAAAAATATTTCATCATTACACTATTTAAAAATTAGGAAAACGTCCCAGGGTCGCTGTATAGGATTCACATGTTCCAGTTACAGGTTAAAAAGAATAGAATAATAAAATCCGTATTCATATATTCAAAGACCTCTAATATTTAGAACAACAATAAACGTCGAGTGTCTGCGGATGTCCCTCGGGTGAGCCGTTCTATCGAAGCGCGATAAACACGCCGGAAGTATTCCCGGCACGGGGAAATCGCCCAGAGCAAAATGAAGTCGAGAGCGGAAAAACGACGGAAGGCGAAGTGGGCAATGCGCCGGAGGTTTCTTGCCACGCGCGCGTTTCGGAATTGCGGAGCGTCATCGATCGCGTTCACGCGCACGAATTAATCTAACTTCGGCGAGCTCGAGCAACCGAGCAGCTCACGGTCGGCAAATTCGCTTTCAGGGCCCAAGGGAGAGATGGGACTGCAGGGCTTGCAGGGGCTCAATGGAACCGACGGCGATCCTGGTATCCAAGGACCCCCCGGATTACCGGTAAGTGAGACGCAAATGAGAAATGGTTTCCCCAAATCTCCTCGACTTTCCACGCCCTTCACGGTGTAATATTCGGGAGACGTTATGGCCATCGTGTTTTACAAAGGTGACGAAAATTTAATATCCCTCGCGTCATCGGACTTTTGCATAATGCCAGCGTATTTTACGTTGCAGTGATTGTTGAATCAAGTTGAGCAAATGGGGGAAAGAATCTCTCAAAAATTGTAGGAAAATAAATTCATAGTATTATATATACTTAATAGGGAGTTTCTATCATTCCGTTTATCGGAATGTTATGAAAATCAGGTTACCTTCTTCTTAACAACTAATTGAGAAATGGATAATATGACTTTAGCGTTCACCGCATCTACATTCACGTTATTACAAAAATTCCCTATCGTCCGCTATTTTCTATGGCATTTTTGATGCCTTAAGATTTAACGTTTCTTTCAGTAGCATCAATATATCGCTTTAAAAATGATACAAAAAATGTGATTTTCGAGTTATTACTATAAATGAGTTAAGCAAACATTATCGAATTTTTGCATTGTCCAAATAGACTTTAAAAGAATATTAAGCACGTTATTCCAAGAAGGATATATCCGCAATGTAACAAGTATCATAATATATTCACAAAATATTAGATATCCCTTCCACGCTGAATTACCAACACATAATATCTGTAATATTATATCAACGCAATTTTCAGTTGCGCTCATATAATGTTTCGAATATTATGTATTAAATCTAATGTGCAAACTCAATATTACGTAATACATGGAAGGTTTTATAAAGGAAGAATTAAGGAAGAATAAAACTATAAAAATACAGCCAATATCTATGAATATATTACATAAATATAGAAAGTATATAAAGACGGTTAAAGTTAGATGTTGGGATAGTAATAATTAATATAAATTCCTAAATATATTTGTTTGACATAGTCAAATTATGCGCCACATATTGTCAGCCTTACAACACAATCATTTAATTGAAATAATAATGTCCACAAATTAATATTTGATCGTCGAATTGACACTACAGCACTAGCATACTTAAATTATTAAAGAATAAAGCTGTAACATTTTACATATGTCGCGTTTGCTTGTCCCTTATTCCAGGGAATATCCGGACCCAAAGGTGAAAAGGGCGACTACGGCGATATTGGTCCCCCCGGCCTTATGGGACCTCCGGGTCTACCCGGCCCACCGGTACGTAAATGGTCTTAAACGTCATAACTTCAACGACCCTTCTTATCATAAATATTCCGTCTTATGTGATTCTACTTGTCGACAGGGCTATCCTGGATTGAAAGGCGAAAAGGGAGAGAAAGGCGAATCGGTGAGTTTGTTAAATTTTGTTACTTGCGTTGACGCTGTTTTGAAAATTAATGTGATATCAATAATTAATTCCTGTTCGATAAAAAAATAAAAAAAAATAATTTATATAATATAATAAAACTAATAAAAATGGATGTAGAAAAAGATTATATAAATATAGATAATGTGAATTATATAATAAGAGAAGTATATAAGGAATTATAAATACATAAATATAATGTATGTGTTTTCAATTACATATTCATTATTTTGCCTTTTTAATATCTTGACCTAAATCGAATCATGGTTACAATACGTATGAAACATGATCCCACCGGAATGATTTTGCAGAAATTAGTTTTATTCAGGATCCAATAAATTTAAGCAAGATTCTATTATCGAAGAATAATACCTATATCTTTTACGGACGATCGTCGATAAATGCAGCTGCCGTGATTTCGATCGCGAAGCTGCCGCATCTTTCGCATAAATGCTATCATATTTTCGTCACAATAGCTTCACGATCGATCGCAGTTTTGGTGCGATCGCGATAGCACCAGAACTGCGATTTCCATGCAGGCGTGCGTTAGGCAGTATCTCACGATAAAATAAATTTCTTTTCATGGCGGGACATCGACCTTCCACTCATAGAAGTACAAAAAGCTCAGGCGAAGACAGGTATGTGACAGTTTGTATCTGAGATATCTCCATGCTTTCGTCCTCGATCGTGCGACAAAAGAATCGCCCTTGATCGGGGAAGGATGCGCGATAGAAAATCGTTAATGTTACATTGAATAGTGTAACGTGATAGTAATACAACATGTATGAACACGAATGCGCGTTTGTTCGCAGGGAGACGGCACGTTCGAGATGAACGCCGGGGAAGTGGTAAGTTAACTCACGAAAACGCGTCGTTCTCTCACGAACGCGTCCGCTAGTTACCGCGATATACGGTAATGTCTGGTTTGTAAAAAATACAAAAAATAAAAATACGGCAGACAATATTACTTCGCTTCCGTGTTGTCTGTTCGAGCGGGTTTTAAATTTTCGGTCGCGCCATTGCGACATCGACTTTGTGCTCCGTTATGGCCGCGTTTTATGTAGTTATGTAACCCTTTGCGGCACGATTTATGGGGATTATAAAGCAATTCGCTCAAAGCTGTAAAAATTGTCGAACAAAATCCATTTTTCTCCTCGATTTTATGATACATTCATCCGCATTGGAATTTTTAGGAAAATAAAATACAACAATAATTTACTTTTTATAATTATTCATTTTTCATTATTATTATCGACAAAATTATAATTATGTCTTTTTTATAATTATAATTGATCAAAATTTCCATAGCTGTTTTTGAACCCAAAAATTACTTACGGAAGAATAATCTTTTCTTAAGCGATAAAACGCACGATGCGATTTTTCGTGCTAGATCGCGATCTAATAAATTATTAGAAATTTTGCGGACGTATTCAGATTCCCACCTAAGTGCAGACATCATTTTATTCTTGTTTAATATTCGGTGAACAAAAGTAAAATGACCTTTAGATAACACTCGGATGGAAATCTGAACATAGTCCTGTGTGATGTAATTTTAGTGATTAATTAACAATGGCTGTGGAATAGAATAAAGCTAGATACAGCTTTGCAAGAGCAGTTGGAAAATACATTAATATAATTGGTTTTCCTCACCCAGTGAGGAACTAAGGACAAAATCAATCGTATTAAAGAATTTTGCAACAGTTGTAAAGCTGCTCCTGAACGCGCCTATTAAAGCTTGCGACACATGATGCTTGTTTTCCTGTTGGATTCCTAGCTGAATTAGAATCTTGCCATCGTATTGGCTGCTGTACTGACAATGTTAGCATTTAATTAATACAGTGGCAAGAATTTGTTCCAGGTATAAGCAATCTAGCAAGAAAACAAGCATCGTGTGCCGTTGGCTTTAATCGCATGTGATGTAGCACGAAAAATCACATCGCGTGCCTCTGATTTAAGTGTTGATAGTTATTAATTCGTGATATTATCGATGCATAGATAATGGGCCCACCCGGACCCCCAGGACCCGCTGGTACCCCCGGACTGCAGGGCCCACCCGGGATCAAGGGTGACAGAGGACACGATGGCGCCAAGGGCGATCCTGTCAGTAACCATTACCTATCTATTGTTCGCGTGTATAGAATATGAAAGCAGTTATACGCGTTCGCGTTCGCGCAATGGAAAATGAATGTTGATTTCTCTCTCCGAGATTGCAGACATCGAATAACAGAATCGATCTGTTTGCATCGCTCCGTTTTGTTCGAAAAACCATCGTGAAAAACCTTTTATACATCAAGCTTTATATTTTTATTTATCTCCGTCGTACTATCACTGAATTTGGAAAACGTAAAAAACTACAGCGAGTCCGGTTATGATCGCAATAATAAATGGCGTTATTTTTTCACGTTTATTAGTTTAGTTCGTGCTGCGCAGCGAACAAAAAAATTTACAGCGCTAACAGGATAAAAAAAATTCATTCTCTTTTGAACATTCTAACTTTCTCTATTTTACATCGTGATGATATGAAAAGTAAAGCCACAGTTGAGAAAGATATTCGTTCTGATCAAAATAATGGGAAAAAAGAAGCTGCGAAGGGTCGTAGTTGAGAACCCTTCGTATGCGAGAAAGATCGCGTTTGCGATGTGACTCCCGAGGCGTGAAGCTATTCACGCCGGTGATCTTTGAGATCACCTTTTTGCGTGCGCGACACCATTGCAATGCGGACAAGCCCGTTCTCACGCGTCGCTCTTTCTTTTTTCACGTTACAGGGAGAAAAGGGTGCCAAAGGGGATCCTGGTCCGATGGGACTGCCCGTACGTATTTTCTCTCCAGATTACACACAGCATGCACTCAAACACACGCACACACGTGTAGCCTTAAGCGCGCTCTAAAAAGGAAACGCGGATACAGGACGCACAAAGGCAGATAGAACGCAGACGGGACCCCCCCGAACGTTCACGGAAAAAAAAAAACTGTCCTGTGTCCTTTGCTTTTTCTGCAAAAAAAATCGCGTTCCGAAAATTCCGAACGTTGCATTGTTAGCGTTAGTACCTCTTTCAGTCCATTTTGTGAGTTTGCTGCAATTTTTCGATAAATTTTTCGTCTAAAAACAGAAAAATAACGTTGTTTATTTTTTTTTTATCAATACACTCAAATATATGATACACAAGATTTCTTTTTCCATTCTTTGTCGACGAAAAAAATTTTTTGGGACTGAAAGAGTTGTAGGGTATACTGTGGCACGTGGTATAATTAACGAATTGGACTTTATCGCCAGAACGAAGTAGGTACACAAGAAAGAAAGACGGGAGGAGGCGTGCGCACAATGTTACGAAGGTATACACGCAATCTCTCTGCATGACAAAAAGACCAAATACAAGTTAGAGCCTGCATATCCTCCTCCGAGCGACGGAAAAGTCGCGCGCTTGATCCACCACCTGCGAGACCGCGTCGAATGCGGCGACGAGACATGCTGATGGGCATTCTGTCTATCTACTTTCAGGGCCCCATGGGACTGAGGGGAGAGTCCGGAAAGCCCGGGGATTCCGGGAAACCTGGCGCCATGGTAAGAACGCGGACCTCCCGCTCCTAACGTCATCGTAACTTGGCGTCGCCGCCGCGGAATTCGCTGATAAGCCGATAAGTGCGTTCACACATTATCGCGCGACGCAGCCTGACGAAGCGTGCCTCTCGATCGCCTCTCGAGTACGCTTTACTTCTGCGTGTACATACGATACCATACAAAAGGGCTTTTAGGGTAAGAGGGAGCGTCGACGAAGTGCGACTGTCGTCACGTCGAGAGTGGCGATTCAAAAGGAGGCGAGCGGACGTCTGGTTAAATACTTTGCGCGCGCGAAGACAGTCGCTTCCTGCCGACGACGACGACGACTGCCGTTAACGCGTTAGATCGATAGAATTGCAATCGCGAGGCGTTTAGGATCTCTCCAAGTCGGCTGGATTCCGTCGAGGTAGATCTCGAGCGCCGTCGGTCGATCTCGTCTGCCAGCAAAGTCGCTGTCACTACAGACTCTATGTTCGACGTGTTTTAACGCGAAGTTTAACGTCAGCCTTCTTCGGAATTGAGAAGATTCGATCCACTTTGGTACGGCAGCAACGCCGAGGTCGCGCATTTTTCCTTTCGACATCGGAAAGTACATTACCGATCGAATCTCACGGACACGCGTGTGTCTTGAAAGAATACGCGCGCCTCGGCGTTGAGAAGTTTTCAACGCCAACGGTGTACCTTTGCGCCCGACTTCGCTCGAGAACGAAACCAAAAAACCGGATCATACAAGTTCCGTACACTGGAAAAAATTTACTAAATTCTAATACATATTTATTTGAATAGTGCTAAGTAAATATTTACTTGCAATAAATATTTACTCAACAAACAAAATGATAATTAAATCAAATCGATGATTTTTCTATTAAATAAATATATGCTTACACTTAGTAAATATTTGCTTAGACCTATTCAAATGAATATTTGTTAAATTTAGTATTGTTTCAGTGTATATAGCTTGCGATCGTAATTTTTCACAGCGTTTACAGGCGTGGAATAGATTCGTCGAGCGATTCGATGTCTAATGTTGGCGACTACAAGAACGTGGAAGGGACGTCTTCCAGGGTACCAAAACTCGTCAAAGAGTTGGCCACACGAAGTGAAAATTACGCCTGAAAATCGGCGATATCGAAATGAAGCTGTATATGTCCGGTTACTGCCTAAAATTATTTTAGAAGACGGATTCTTTGACGAATTTTTAAAAAGGCATATTTTCGACGTATTCTCTAATTAAATTGCCTGAAATTATTGGCTGAGAAAGAAACTGCGATTCGTCAAAAAATTCGTTGCTAAAATATATATCTTCCCGAGATCATCCCTGTATGTTCGATGTCGTGTACACCGCGGAGCCGCTTATTCTGCAAAGAGTTTAAACCAGATTCAGTGAAATAACGTTGAATTAATGAATTAATTAATCCGCGGGCAAAGAGACCGCGATATCACGTGTTCGCTTTAACGAACTCCATGAGATTTGGTTTACGCCACTTTCAAAGTAAGCTGCTCGCTCTCGGTTCACGCGTTAACGCATTGCTACCATCCGTCCTCTTAACTTACTCTACGTGTCGGCTTTACAAGCAAGCCGCTCGCGCCGATCGTCGAGAACAGATTCTCGATTGTAGACACGAGTACTCAAAGTTTGGTGGATCTAAAAAGAATCCGAACTTCGCCGTCCCGCAAAATTTTGTGTCATCAGCGTATATGAAAAGAAGCGTACGGACGCCGTTTCTCCGAACAAGTCATTAATAATGTAAGCTTGTAAGGACTTCTCGATCTTATCGAATTAAATGCGAAAACGGTGCTTTAGTTATCGCACTATTGCAGCATAAGTGGAGTGAAGTATACGATATTATTTCATCGCGTTATATACGAAATATATTCGTATACTTGATAATTTCGCGATATTTTATCCCCTCGAATCGCATAAATTTACGTAGTACGTTTTGCGTAAATACGTTAAAACTTGAGGAGCGTGCTTTTTATTTAGAGCTCAATTTTTATTTGAAATAAACGATTGTTTACAAACGTGACAAGTCAAAAGAAAGAACAAAATTAGATGAAGGCGCAGTTTTACCGATCCAGAAGTGTCGAAAAGTAGAAGTTTAATTTTCGTCCAAACTAATTTGACGAGCCTTGAGAAACAATTTCCAGTCTGTCCCTTGTCTGGTAAAATCTACTTTTCCGTTGTGCCTCTCTTGAGAATAATTCAGTCGGCTTGTACTTAACGAAAGCTCGCTCTCGCAGCATTGCCGGCACCTAATAATAACCCAGCCATTTATCATGATTCCTCTTCGTTCTACATTTCTTCGTAGCATTCCAGTCGCATTTCACGAATCATCAAGAATTCCGCACGGTTACAAGAGAAGGGAAATTCTGTAAGATATATTGATGAAGGGGAAAAAGGAGGAAAGAAACAGAGGGGAATAAAAATTAAGACTCCCGATCACATCGCTATTGTACTAAATTGTGACGTCAAAAGCGAGAAATCGGACGTAATCCTTTCTCTTGCGGTAGAAGTTAAAGAATAAATGTAAAAACAAGATTCATATCGAGGTATAAGTTGATCGCGTTGAACATTTTCCTGATTACTCGTTGCTGGCGTCAGGATGGCTTCATCAGGAACATCGATAACGTCCCTCATCTTTCAACACTGCTCGATCAGGACGCGAACGTTGATAAAAATCGCGTTGATTAACAATTAAATTCGCTAAAAGCGGCTTCTCGCGCAGAATACAGCTGGATGCGTTTTAAATCATCGCTTGCATAAAGCTTGCATAAAGAAGCAGCAGTCGAGGCGTGGCAGCGGAAGAGGGAGAACTTATGGGCAAGTGTCGGTGTATTCCGACTCCCTTTACATTCGGCAAGTACCTTTTACGAGAGTCGTGGGAAACGTCGGTGATATCGCGCGTGAGCATCGGTCGCGAGAAAATTTCATGTTCGCCGAACAGTAATAAAACCGTTTCCGAGACTGGCCGCTACGAATAATAAGTAGGAGGTACACCTCGTTCCCCTCTCTCTCTCTCTCTCTCTCTCTCTCTCCCTCTCTCTCTGCCTGCACTTTCGGCTTTTCCGCTCTATCCTGTCGGGTGCACTAACGTGCTATCGATAGTTTGCGATATTTTCCTGCGGAACTCTAACGTAGCTGAGAAACACAAGTGCGTGACGTTTTCATCAATAATAAAGTCGATACGACATGCTCTTTGGCGATATAAACTAAACGTCAACTACATAAACGCTTGGTGGACGCGATTTAACGTTTACAATAGTCAATAATTTCGACAAGCGTTTCTCGGCGACGTAGTCGACAAATTCGGAGTTAACCGAGCTTTGTCCTTTTACAAAAGTGTTTTGCGTGAATGCTGACAGAAATGTGGAAGGGTTTCGATATCGTGAGTTACGATCCTCGCGTCAGCTCGGGAATATCGCACGATTTACACGCAAGATGTAATTACCGGTAGGTGATCACTCGGCCTAAGAAGGATCTTATTCGAAGTACAACGAGATGCTCCATAAAAGCATCTTTAAAGACGATCTCGATATAAAGGAAAGTCGAAAGTACCAACTACTTCCTGTGAAAGATCTGCGGTTGGTGTGCGGCTCCGATCGCACGGAAATTGATTTACTCAAAATTGTCCCTTCAATTTTAAAATCCTAGAGGTACAATAAATCGCAAGAATCCTCTCATCCGTGAGCTGGAATTAATAACAATTTTTCCACGGAAATTAATTTTTACACAAGAATTGATAACAATTAATTGTGTCGAAAAATACTGTTGTATTTTGCTTTATGCAAGCTACAGCACTTTGAGTCGTTTAAATCAACTTCCGCGTTAATCGATCGCACACCATCCTCGACGTCTAAAAATACAAGAGGCAAGAAGAATCGCGAAAATGTACAGTGTAGAATATACGGTGCCCTCGCCGTTACAATCGATGTACCGTATACGACGGACTATACGAGCGGACTACTTCTAACACCCTGTGTACACCCCGATAAATTAACGCAGATTTAGTCTTAAGAGGATAAACTGGACGAGAAAGTCTGCGCGAGAGAGCGAAACGAAGCTCCGTCGGACTCCACGCCGACGACCCCTATCTGGCGGCAATTCTCCTGTGCGTGTAAAGTTTATGACGCCCACATATACATATTTAATACACGAGCACGAACACGTCATATATGTATACAAACGCTCACACATACACGCGCGACACACGAAGGAACGTATGCGTGAAACGAGAAACGCAGTCGCGTCGAGATGCGCAAGTCGAGAGATGTATATAAATATACAGCGATTCTCGATCCTATCGAATACGCGATTTTTTTCGGGACGCTAGAACGGAGTTTTTCAGTTTTATTAGGTACTCTTGCTCGTGTGAGTATCTCGTTGATCAACGGCGAGAAAACTGAAACGTAAATGGAAACGTCTGTAATTATCGATTCTGTAGAACAAGGATACCTACGTTTGTTTTAAGTCGATTCGATATACAATCCCAATCTCGCCGAAATTTCAGTCAACGAGGTACTCGCGAGTGAGAGTACCCATTAAAAAGTTCCGTTTTAGTGCGCCGGATGGATCACGAAAGTTCGCCGATGAAACTCGAGAACGCGCTGTATACTCATTTGTATGTGTATGTCTGTAAATGTAAGTACAAGTAAAAGGTGCATTTACACACGTAACTGCGTGTCGTGTGCAGGTATACACACACATACACACACACACACAGGCTGTCAACATTGTGTCGAAAACCTCTTACTATAGGGATTCGTTGACGAACCCGAAAACCGACCTCTTTCTCGTAACGAAAATCTTGACGTAATCTAATTAGGATGATTCCCGACGTCCGAGATTAAAGGATTTTCCTCGAATTATATAAAACTGTACTCCGAGATGCGAGAGCAGCTAATATTTTTCAGCTAATTTAAAACGAGTTTTGCCTTAACGAAAATTTCAACTTTACTTGCCAAATATTTGATCTTTTCGCCTGAGCGAAAGTCGACTGCGCGCGGAAAAATCCATAATTGGAGGAATGTTTCAGTAGACACAGGAGACACTCTGTGTGCACATATATATATATATATATATATATATATATATGTATGTATGTATATATATATATGTATGTATGTATGTATGTACACGAATCCCCAGGCGTGTGTGTGCGTGCGTTAATTGTTAAGGCGGCGTTCCTCTTAAGCCGATCAACTTAAGGCGACCTAATTGAATGCGTATGTGAATACTGACTCTAACAGCAGTTTTGTTTTACATTGTCCCGATTAATAAACAGAATGTGCATGTGCCTGTGTCCTTTGCTTCTAAAACTGCCTACCAAATTAATGCTTTCACACACGATAATCCAGTAACATAATCAGATACTTTTTGCTTCTTTGCATTGTGCTCCGACATGTTTTGCGATCCGAGCCAATCCGGACAACGAGATTTCTCTGCTCACTTTCGTTCTTCCGTTCTCTCTATGTATTTGCATCTGTTGCATAAGTTGCAATGGAAAACGATTAAAGACAAGGAGAAAAGAAACAACCAAAAATTAACACGTGTTAATTTGCTGCGACCACGACGGTGGCGTTAATCGGCGGATCGTTCAGACCGGCGATTAATCTTGCTACCTTAGAAATAAGATCGAAAAGAAGAAAAAAAAAAGAGGATAAGCACAAAGACGCGACGAAGCGTCGACGCTTCAGTACGAAGTACGCTCGTTTTTTTTTTCTTTCAACTTTGCTCAAGCTCCCGCTTTACTTTCCGACGACGCCGACCGCCCTCGATTGTCAGTCTCTTTCTTTCTCTCTCTCTCTCTCTCTCTCTCTCTCTCTCTCTCTCGGTGTCGGGATTAATTTTGATAATATGAAAGCAGGGGTGAAGATTATCTTGCGATGATGGGCCGAAGATGAGTTTCGTAGTTGAAACGCCCGAAGAACGGAGACTAAACGAATCTAATTCATTATACGCCGAGTGAGAGTTTTATTCGCGAAAGAATGTTTGCACATCGTTTTTAAGAAATAGCTTAAGGAATCGTCTCTCCATCACAAAATTATACATAATAAAAATTCGCAGTTACACCTCAAATATTTATCAAGTATGGGAATATTCGATGTAACAAGAGCGCGAGTACAGAATCCGATAGAAACGCAATTTCGTTACAACGAAAACCGATCGAATATCCCCGGCCAATATCTGTACCGACACATCAAGCGCGATATAGCGCAACTATAACTTAATTTGAAAATCCGAACGAGAGTTTCGAAACTTCTCTCTCTTCTCGCGCGCGCAGGGATGCTGCGGGGGGAAGGGGGAGGACGTAACGCGATCGAGAGTTGCAGCTATATATATTTATATAGCGAAACAGCAGCGCTGTGCAAATATTCTTTCTCGCCGAGCCGATGGAATTTTCACGCGAATCGATCGGCGCAACGAGAATTAAACCGAGAACCGATCCTGAAACCAGGGATGTGCGATCTCCAAATCGATTCGCTAAAAAGCGATTTTTTGCAAAAAATTTTGCTCCGAAATAGCCCTCTTTGTTAAAAAGAAAAAAAGAAGCGGTTCTTTACAAAGAGAGATCGGTTTCAAATAGCTCTTTTTGGAAAAAAATCAATTTTTCGCAAAACAGATCGGTTTAAAATCGCTATTGTCATTTGGGAAGATCGATCTTTTGGAGATTCGAACATCCCTGCCTGAAACACTCGAGGGCGCAGCGACGGTGTCAAAAGGGCGATCTCTAATAATAAAAGTTCCCCTCCGCGACATAGTTTTTAAGTCGCTGTCGACAATATTACACGCTCGATATTATCGATGGGCTACGTCGTGTATCTGACGAGGTTTCCTCTACCTTTCAGGGATCACCAGGATTAGACGGCATGAAGGTGAGCGATCCACGGGATGACCCCGTTTTCACTATATCATTACCTTTCTCGTTCTCGGACACGCTCTATTTCCGTGTCTCGGTGTCTCGTCTCGTCTCGTCTCGTCTCGTCTCGCGAACCGAAATATATCAATCAATCGGTCGAAATTAGATTCGAGAGAACGCGAACGCGGTTTCATCCTCATTGGCTTTCCTTTAACGACGAGAGCGAGCCGAGTTACCCAAAATCGCCCGTCATGTTTCTTCGTACTTTCAGGGCGCGCAGGGCGAGCCAGGAACGAAGGGAGAAAGAGGAGATCCGGGATTGCCTGTAAGTCCTATGCTTTATCAAGTATTTATCCGCCGTTCGAATCTGATCCATCTAACGCGCGATATCGCCCCGCTTTGCTCGTGTTTATCGAGATCTCTCAGCAATGTATTTCAAGATTTACCGAGTATTATCCCGAGGCAATCTTGCCCTTCATCAAACAATAATTTTCTCTGGTTTCGCGGTCGGATCGTTCGAGGCGCTCTCGATAAATATTTTACCGGGATAGATTTCTCTCTTTATACATTTAAAGTCGATCTCTACGGCAATCGAATTCCTTGACAAATAATGCTTCAAATGAACTCTCGATTGGAGCAAAGTCTCTCCCGCGGCGCACAATGGAAAGGAGAGAGATACTCGCGGGATACTCTTTCGCGAATTCGATCAAACGTCAATTGTGATTCCGATCGATCGCCGAACCTTCTCAATCTCTGTTTTACGTCACTCGCGATCTCTCAAGTCTCGTGATCGTCGCGCAGTCACGTACCGAGATCGAGTCATGTCCGAGAAACGGGCGTCAAGTCAACTCGCTGACTCGATTACATCTCACCGTCGTCGTCACGGAGAGACACGCTAACGAGTCGATCTGTGTTTGTCCCCAGGGTACCGATGGAATTCCCGGTGCGGAGGTACAGTTGGCTTTCGATTATCGCTCGTCCTCCAGCGCGACTGCGACACAGTCTGACACGGTCTGACCAGCCCGGGGTAACGACGACACATTCCGCCTGATCTACCCCGGGGACTGTCTTGAAAAAAAAAAAGAAAAAGAAAAAAGAAAAAAAAATCAAAAAGAGCCCTCTCTTTTTGCCTCCTCTGTCCGATTTCGAAGAGAACGGAGCAGCGTCTTGCGCCTTTCTCCCTCTTTCGTTCGGAATCTAGTCTCACAAATTTCTTTTTTTTTTCCTTTGACACGTTATATTCAATTGCATATCAAAAGTCGTGCACAGATAATTTTTTCAATTTAAACATTGATATATCTAGAACATAATTCCGACGCGATCGATTCCGTTGTATCGTTTGATATTTTCACATGATAATGCTTAATGTTTGTGCAAAGAAGATCAGAGTTTATTCAACGCCTGATATTATTTGCACGAGTAGCTGTTGAATTAGATTTAAGAACCAGATAAGAACTAGGTGGTCCCGTGTACCACCTCGTCGGCATATGACCAAGTTAGAGAGGATCGCACCCGATGAAAATTTACGACCGAATTATAACGGAGGGGGAAACGCGCAACTCCCTCGTGCTTCTCTCTGGAGTGTCCGGAAGGATGCTCGAGCAGTGCTCGTGTGACCGCTCGATGCGCACCAATGCGAGAGCGTATAAACGGAACGACTCTCTCGTATGTACCCTCGAATGCACAGGAAGGTACTTGAAGGAGGATAATCTCTTTCACCTCTGAACATACGACAGCTATATATCCTCACATCGCGCGAATAGCTGTATATCTCCCAGCGCGCAAATGTTTCCTTTTTTATTTAAAACTAGAACTGCGGGTTTAAATTAATCGCGATTCAAAGTAAATTTAACTTTTTAAAAAACGAAAGGTATTGCAAAATTTCCGTTAAAAAATTTGTAATTAATTATGATTGATTTATGAAAAGTCATAAAAATTTAAAATTTCACGTGCAAATCCAATTAAAAAAATACCATTCGTTAGAAGAAGGAAGACGCGACTAAATTAAAGGCGTCCATGTAACTCATCGCGGCGTGCATATTTATGAAGTGCATCTTAATGCCAGTTTCCACCTATACAGAAAAAAAATTAGTCTTCGACAATAATATTCTCGAAATATAAGCAAAAATATTTTAATCCTGTTTTAAAGATTTTAGTCTTAATTTGATTGAATTTATATTGTTGCAAAATTTTTAGTCTTGAATTATTTGAATGCAAAATAATAACTTGCATCGAAAACAAATTTAATAAAATCAAGACTAATTGTAAGATCTTTGAAACTAAATTATAGAATATTTTTACTTATGAGCAAATGTTATTGTCAATTTAAGAATAGTTTTTTTCTATGTAGATTAATTTTAATCTCAGTTCAAAATTTACTTTTCATCTTCTTCTAGTCCTAAGAATTAGAAAAAGATGAGTTGAATCGATATCAAAATTAGTCTATTGATGGAAACAAGCATAAAAATGTATACCATTAATATATCGCGAAGAAAAAATTAGAAACATTAATCTTGCTGAAATCTTAATTTCTTTCAAAATTACAATTCTAAAAATAATATTGTTGTATAAATAACTGCACGTGAATCTGCTAATAAAATTCTAATTGTTCGGGAAGTTAATGCTTCCCGTTAAACTGAATCTAAAATGGGGAATTCTGTGTCTGTGTATCTCTCTTTTTCTCTCTCTCTCTCTCTCTCTCTCTCTCTCTCTCTCTCTCTCTCGTATCGGTGCTGCTTTTATTGACATCGGATATTCTCGGTTTATTGACGTCTCTCGTCGGAGGGAAGAGCAATAACCAAGTGATCCACTCGAAATGCCGTGCCCGTGGTTCCGGCTGCGAATCGATATGCCACCCTTTCCGCCCCTTACGGCTCGATGAGGTGACGGATGATGGTAACGGAAAAGCTGCTGGTGATCGATATACACGTATAACGTATACGACATCGCGGTCACACGCGGCACCCTTCCTCGAGCTCCCTTTCGAGCTTGGAAACTCGCTTTTCTTTCTGGAACGACCGTGCGTCTCGCGCGCGCAAAACGACGGCCAACGTTTACCGAATAAATTCCTTTTGACCGTGTTCACCAATTCCAGGGACCGAAGGGAGAGAAAGGTGCCAAAGGCGAATCTGTGAGTATTGACTTAATTCGAGTAATTCACGTTTTCGACGCGCGTGCTCCGCCGCGCGATTGAACGCGATCCACTCGGAGTTATACCGTCACTCTCTTTCTCTCTAATTTCTCCTCTCCTCTCCTTTCTCTCTCTCTCTCTCTCTCTCTCACACACACAAGGATGCGAAAACGATCGTGCGTGATTAGGTCGCCTATACGTTTTACGAAGATTATTTACCGAACGATAACCGACGGACCAGAACGCTGTATTCGGATGCAACTCACTTCATAATGGACGTACAATCATACGCATCTATCTCGACGAAT